GTGGAAGAAGCAAAATGTATGTCTGGGAGCTTCTTCTGCTACAGATGAAGCTCTGATGCATGGGCTCGTCTCACGCTCCACCTGCCATCGCTCAAGAGTTGAACACCAACCTCTATGATCTCCTCTGCTTGAGGCACAGACTACCCCAACCTAGAGGAAGCATGCAACTTTTTTCAGGTTGAGAGCCAGAGTCTAAAACTCACTTGGCTGCAATTCTCTTACACTCTGAAGGTCAAGGCTTGAAGAAGCCAAATCCTCTAAGTTAGAGTTGAGATCCAAAGATTACCAAATCTGGACAATGTCTTCTTCGTGAACATGAAGAGAGACAAGAATCCATTCCAGTCTGGCATTAACCCTCTCAGGCTCAAAATAAGTTTTGATAAAAGGACAAACAACTAAGTCCTTCAGGGGTACTTCTGAGTTTAAAAAAAATGCTCATGAAATACGTATGTGGAGTAACCGGGTAGGTAGGTTTTAACGTTGCAAATCTGCAACGCCTGCCTCCAGAGGGTTAAATTCTTGCACTCTGCACTTCCTGTGGTCACACTAAGACCAGATAACATGACAAGTGTCCACAGCTCCCTGTAGGACACTTTGGGACATGGTGTTTGAACTGCTTGACTAAACTCACATTAGGTCTTCATAACTTCACCAGGATGAAGATTTGGTTCAGTGCTCAGCTACAAAGTCATCCTGGTGGGATGGATGGGATAAAGGCTTGTAGAGCTCTTGGTAAACCGCACTGATTGCCACCTTGAGTTTTAAACTACCCATAAAGTTGAGCTTGTTAGAACTTTTATTGTCTAGAAATCTCCTATTTATAGTCTGCTAAATCCTACAAGGTTTATTTAGTAAAATTGTTTAACTATTAACTATATTATGCATGTATTATTTCAGTATTGAATAAAAAATTAAATAAAAAATACTGCACCTGGAAAACCAAAATCCACCAACACACTCACACACACACACACACACATATATATATATATATATATATATATATACATACATATATATATATATATATATATATATATATATATATATATATATATATATATATATATATATATATATATATATATATATATATATATATATATATGTGTGTGTGTGTGTGTGTGTGTGTGTATATATATATATATATATATGTGTGTGTGTGTGTGTGTGTATATATATATATATATATATATATATATATATATATATGTGTGTGTGTGTGTGTGTGTATGGGCGAGGACTCATTTGTTGGATGTGTTCTATAACCGTAGAAAATTTCCCTTTTGCAACCTCAGAAAGTCCCATCAATAACAGAAGTTGCACAACAAAGCTGTTGCAACACAGTCGCTCTGTGTGTGTGTGTGTGTGTGTGTGTGTGTGTGTGTGTGTGTGTGTTCACTAAATTAATTCTGTTTATTGATTCTCAAAAACATTAAAGTGGCTAACATTTTTTAAACATCCAAACATTGCAGGATGCCATTTCTCTTTTATCTTGCAATAAATTTGTTGTTTTGTTTTTTTTCTATGAGTCGGCGAGTCATCTAAAAGCATTATCGATTTCTGACTATTTGCTTTCAGAACAATTTCTCAACTGCTGCTGGGAATTCATGTATGCTTGTGTTTATCTGTCTGCAGCATGTGGAAACTGAGCAAATGAGGCCATGATGAGGAAAAATGGGAGGGGGAACAAAGATGCTGGTCAGTGGATAAAGGAGGATGCTGCCGACCCTCGAGTCACACTGACAGCAGGTCAGGACTCAGTTGGAGGATGAGGAGAACCAACCTGCTTTTGCTGGCCTCCCTGGCCTTTGCTTCTCTGATGTCTCTTGCTGAAGTGAAGCCAGCTCCACTGTGAGTAGAACTATCGGTGCATTGATGCATAGGTGTAATTTTGAGGGGGTATGGGGGGACATGCCCCCTTCTTTTTCAAAAGGCAGTTTGGATCCATTCATGATTTCTGCTTATTTTTACTGAAATGAGGCAAATGTTGTGTTATGTATATGTTATTGAACCCGAGCTAAAGCCCTGCACGGGCCTAAAATCTGAGCCCAGCTCGGCCCGAGGGGGTGGAGCCCCAGCTTGACCCGGTCCGAAAAGGTTTTCAGGATTCTCTGGCCCGACCCGAGCCCGACTCTTTTTTTACCTTTCATAATGTTTTAGCGTGATAGAATGCTCAGCATTCTAATTATCTGTGAGAAGCGTTCTGCAGTAAAAAAAAAAAAAAAAGAAAGAAAAGAAAAACAGCATCAATGCAGCTTTTTTTCTAACAGAGCGTATTTTTCGAGCAGCAGATGAAATTTACGAACACTATATTAATTGGATGCGTTTGTAAATTTAATCTGCTCTGAAAATGCGCTCTTGTGCAATTAGGAAAAAAAAGCAGCATTCTCATTTTCTAACTGCAGAGCGCATTTTCAGAGCGGCAGATTAAATAAACGCCCCCAATTATTATAGTGTTTGTAAATTTAATCTGCCGCTCTGAAAATGCGCTCTCCAGTTAGAAAAAAAAACCAGCAATGAATGCTGTATTTTTTTTTTACTGCAGAGCAAATTTATTCACAGAAAAACAGAATGCTGCTGTTTTCATGAGAATAAACGAATGGTTTCTGACATCAAAGTGGACATAAAATGGCATTTTAGAATAGGGGCACATGTTTCAATCAGCAGTTTGAAATTTTGATTATATGGGTGCATTTATAAACCACACGGACCTTAACTGAGCTAACGGTGCATGAAAAGCAGGCAGGTGCTGCTGCGTTCAAGTGTTTCAGTTTTTTTTATGAATTTTATTTAAAATAAAGGCGCCCGGCCCGGCCCGTGTCCGAGGTAGTTACACAGTCGTTGGCCCGAAGCCTGACCCTCGGGCCTAGGGCTCCAGTGTAGGGCTCTACCCTTAGCCCAGCCCCCCCCCCCCCCCCCCCCCCCCACACACACACACACACACACACACACACAAACACAAAACCATTGATCAGCCATTTTTGCCTCTCCCACGTTTGAAATTAAAATGACTTCATAGCATAGATGTTAAATAAAATTCAGAGGCTTTTTTGTTGCTGTTTGATGTTTCACATTTATAGAAGTGAGCCCGTAGATTTGTGTCAACAACTTCTTCATGCTCTTTTTACCACTTGATGAGAACCTCTGTATGAATATTAGTTGCAAAATTTTACAATTAACTTGATTTTACCTTAGAATAATCTAAGAAGCAGCTGATGCCCATGTTGCCTAATGTGTTGCATAACTGAGGCATTTCTAAGGTATTGAGGTGCACCAGATCCAGCAAAGTCTAAAAGTCAAAGAGAAAGTTCAATCGATCTACAGCTGGATTTTAATCAAGATAATCAATGGTTAACTCACTGGGTGCAAAGTCCTCAAATGAGCAAACATTAGCGAAAACTATCTTTAAAAATTAAGTAAACAGCAAACAGACATCGGACAGCATTCTCAGTTTGAAGGTCAAAAACCTTCAAATGTTTTCGAAGGTCAGTGTTAACTGATCAGAGCAGATTGGGAAAGTAAAAAGTGAAATGTGGTGCAAAAGATTCTGTTTTCTTATTTCCGTTCTCTCGTTTGCATACACAGAGACGACCCCCAATAAACAACATGTGTGAGACATTCTGCCTAAAAGCATCAAAAGCACTTTTTATTTAGTAACTCACATTTCCACCTTAAAAAAACGTTTTCACTGTTTGTTCTGCAGCAAACTGATGGCTGCTCCCAACTTACTGAGAGTTGGAACAGCAGAAAACATCTTTGTAGAATGTCAGGACTGCGATGGTGGAGACATTTCCGTCGATATCAAAGTGATGAACCACCCGACCAAAACCAAAGAGCTCGCTAAGACGACTGTGACCCTTAGCAACAACAACAACTTCCAACAGCTTGGAGAAATAACCGTGAATATTTTTTTGTGTGTCATAAAATAATTTAAGACACTCAGAAGTAAAGACAGGTTTGTGATTTCCTGCCTGTTGGTTCTGGTTTCAGATCCCACCTGGAGACTTCAGTAGGGATCCCACTGTCAAACAGTATGTTTACCTGCAAGCTAAGTTCCCTGATCGAGAGCTGGAGAAGGTGGTCCTGGTGTCCTTCCAGTCTGGGTACATCTTCATACAGACCGACAAGACCCTGTACACGCCCAACAGCAAAGGTGAGAACAGTTTCCTAATCAGGGGCGTCCCCAGAAAATTTGATAAGGGTGGCCAGACAGGGCCAAAGAAAAAGTTGGGGTGGAACCTCAAAATGTTCCTTGTGGTAAATATGGGAGAGTTAGCCTGTAGTGATGCATTATATTGCTCCTTTATTCTTTTTTTTTAATTTATTAAAAAAACAATATGTATCCAAAACACTTAACTCAAATTTGAGAAACACAAACTTTTTAGAAAAATACAATTCAATCATTTGAAATGTTATTTGGAAAGTATTTTAGAATTTTATTTGTTAGCTTGATTCATCTATTCACCTGCAGTTTTCTAGGGGGCGCCATTGTTCCTAATGTCCAAAAAACTAAACAAGTTCAGATTTCTGTCAGAAGAGTCAAAAAAATGTGAATAAAGACACAAACACTCCGAGATTATTTAGCAATGCTGGATCTGAAACATACAGCCTGAACTTTCTTTGTAGTCTTTATTCACCCAGAAAACAAAAATAAGAAAAAATTAAAATTGTGAGAGAATTTTTTTATTTTAAATCTGCATCTTTGGAAGTTTAGACTTGTCCCGAGACACAAAGACATAAAACTCAAAGAAATATTCAAGATGACTGGCCTATTTTTTAGATATTATTAAAAAGGACTTTGAACGTAATATTTAATTGACAGTTTGTCCCGACTCAGAGACACAGCAACAACTTTCCCTCCCTCTCTCAGTGTATTACAGGATGTTCGGTTTGACACCAGAAATGAAGCCCGTCGAAGGACAAAATCAAGCTGACGCTTCTATTGACATCCAGATTCAGGTACTGTGTTACATCTCTTTTCTTCAACAGCTGGAACATGGAAACACATCAGTGACAGATAAAAGCACTAGACATTAGTTAACAGAAGTGCTTTGCTCCGGATGAAAGATGCTGTTTATTGGTTTCAGACCCCTGATGGCATCATCCTGCCGCTTGATCCAGTCTCTCTGACTGATGGCATCCACTCTGGAGATTACCAACTCAGTGAAATTGTTAGGTGAGTGGTTTTTTTATCTAAATTTGATCTGTGTAAATGTGAAATCTAAGAGTTAAATCCATCCTTCCATTGCAACATTTAAAAGCCATTTTAACGCACTCACACATTCAGCCATATGTGGAAACCCCTCCTACCTGGAAGCTATTTAGCTTCTGATTAGCATTTACTGGAACCATGATAAACTTCCAATTAGGGAAACAACTCATGAACTTTCTTAAGCCGGGCGTACACTGTGCGACTTTTTCACTTTTTTGAGCCGATTTTCCAGTCGTGCGAGAATCCACGACATCGGGGCGAGTTTTGCGCCGAGCGGTTGTGTAGTGTACAGGGGGTTACGAGAGGCGATTAACACCACGTGACCAGCTGCCGATCAGCAGTCGTGAGGTCGCACGGACTTCTGGCGTGTTTGATATTTTGCTCGTCCCTCGTGAGGGTATCGCACTGTTGAAGCGGCGCTGCGAGCAGCTGCGACCCAAAAAGTATCAGAACCGCTCACGGCGCATGCGCAATCCTGCATCATCGCCGCTCGCCCGCTATTTCCCTAATAACACACGCTGTTCGTTTTAATTTCTACACGTTTTTTTTACTCACAAAGATTGTCAAGAAAGCGTGTTTGTCGTGTTCATGTCAAATTAAACTGATCACAAAACACAGATTTACTTTCTTTATTTCGTTTTCCTCATCCAACCCCCGTAAATCCCTGTGTGTCCTCCTGCAGCACTCCCGAAGGACAACAGGCAAAACAAGACAAAAAAGTCTGACGTGTTGTGTACAAACTGCTATTTTTAGCATTTTTTTAGGGCCGACGTGTTGCTACCAGACGTACAGTGTGAGCAGTCAGGCCGCATCCGAGAACTGGGTCGTGCAGTGTGAGCACATGACTCGTGAGATCTGCTCTGCGAGGAAGTCGTACAGTTTGAGCTGAAGCTGAACGCTGCGAGTGAAAAAGTTGCACAGTGTACGCCCGGCTTTAGACGTCAGCTATGAGACACAAAGTCTTCTCTAGACATTCTGATTTCACTCAATTCTAATGAACTAAAAAAGTTCAACTTAACTGAAAAAAACATTTTTTTAATGATCAGTTTTGATTCTAATCAGTTTTTCATGCAGGCTGAACATGAAAATAGTCTCCTACTCCTATCTCCTGCATTAGTTTCTGATAGAAAATAGACGGTGAAACTCTAGGATCAGAAAAGCCTGACAGATCTACGTCACACTGTCCTTGTAGCATTCATGGACTCACCCATCTTGACTTGCGACAGGGAAGGCTGTTTTTGGTTTTGCATCCAAGAAACAGCAGAGAACGTCTCGGCTAGTAGAAGCTAACTGTTAACATTAGCATTTCCACCACACAGCTGAACTCCTCCAAGCTTTTGTTAATTATGGAGACAAAACCTCAACATTGCGAAGCAAACATCAGTGGTAGAGTTGTGTTGCTGTTAGCCAACCAGAGGCAAGATGTCTGAATATTAGGAAATAAGACGCAAGATGCTGCCGTCTGAAGCTCAACTCTGATCTGGCTCACTTCTAATTCTGGAAACAGGTGCACTGTCATGTGCCAAAAAGCATGACACTTATAATTTATATGGTTTATAAGTTAGTTAAAATTACATAAGTTCATAGTTGGTGAAATATATGTTACGGAGTATGTTAAAAAGCGCTAAAAAGCTGATGTTACGAAGTAAACAAAGTGAGACATCTTCTCCAGAAAGGATCGTTTTTTTGTTGCTGCAGGATGACAGCACAGTGAACATTTCTGACAACGCCGTGTTCCTCTAAATCAGGGGTGTTGAACTCAAATTCACACTGGGCCAAAATGAAAAACTGGGACGAAGTCGCGGGCCGAACTCAGTTCTTTTTTTAAAGTGTCTGTAAATGTGCACATTTTCCTTTATCTATGGTATGAACGGTTGAACCTTTTCATTAGGAAACAAACTTGTTTTTTGCTGTAACACTGAATGTGGAATAGCCAAATTACACATGAGCAAGTTGATTTTAAATAAAGCACACATCAGTGGTATTCGTCACTTATGTCTCAATTTTTAAAAATATTTTATTCCTTAAAATCTGCATTTATTCAGCATTTCGTCTCATTTCTTTTCTCTTCTCTTATCTTCTGAATCTTTTAAGTGTTTCTATTTTTTGTTTTCTTGTTTATTCTTTATTTTTTACTCTTCTTTGTTGCTCCTGTAATGAATGTTATTGCTGCTGTGACGTCAAGCTTTCCCCACGGAGGGACAATTAAGGGATTTTCTACTTTATTTCTATTTTTATGCTTCTATCTGTAATCTTTCCTGTTTTAAAGTAGGTGAAGTCTTTTCCCACAGGCCAACAGCATAAATAAAATATGGTAATTCTCTTAATTGAAAATAGAATATCTCACCTCATCATGCTTTGGAGCAGAAAAGGTCTAGCACCACACAGACACGTGTTGTGAGGGCAGCATGTGCACCAGAGCTTTTTTCCGCTAGAGTATGACTTACAAGGCCTTCACTCCTACTAGAGACCACTGAAGAAATATTAAAAATATGAGTAAAGTAGATTTTTTTAAAAAGACCCCATAAAGTTATCTGCTTGTGTAAATGCCTTCTGAAGAAGGGAGGATACTCTGAGGTTGCTTTGCAGAATCTCCTCATTATAATTGATTATATTGATGTTTGAAGCCCACTTTAATTCATAAAAAATTAAAATCAAAACATGAAAAATTCTGATCCTTTACGTGGCATTTTTGGCAGGTATTCATATTTTTTGTATCATTGCTAACCCATAACTAACTCTCAATGGACGGACACAGAACAGGATTCTGAATTCACAAAGTGCATGCTTGTGTAAAACAGCCTAAATTATCGGCCCTTTGTGTGAAATCTAAAAAATAAAATGGATTTCTGATTTCCGTGTTTTTCTTGGTATCTTTAGTAAAGTCAAACTGATCTCGCCTGCTTGTTTACGTGTGTTTTTGTGCTTGTGCAGTCCAGGCTTGTGGAAAGTGATGGCAAGGTTCCAGAGCAACCCTCAGCAGAGCTTTTCGGCTGAGTTCGAGGTCAAAGAATATGGTAAGTCTTCTTTAACCAACTACGTTATTTTTATCGTTCACTTTTTATTAGAAAAAGCACCAAAACAAGATTTTTTTTTTCAAAGTGCTCCCCAGTTTTGAAGTTAAACTCCTGCCTGATACACCCTTTTTCTACGTGGACAGCGATGATTTCAGAGTCAGCATCAAAGCTACGTATGTGAACACCGATTTAAACTTGTAACTAAAAGTAAATGTCCTTCCTCTGTTGCTGTTACAGAATAACCTTAAACCTGTCTGTCTTTTTGTTGCAGTTATCTGTTTGGTAGAGAAGTTTACGGGACAGCCTATGTGGTATTTGGTGTTCTGGAGGATGGAGTGAAGAGAGGCCTCCCAAGCTCTTTATCACGAGTCCCAGTGAGCACCCACAGTGTTTTTACTAATCCAGTTTAAATGTAGCAAACATGTAGCATGCCCATATACGGTCAAACGAACAATTCTTTCTGTTGTTTGATTAGATCACAAATGGAGAAGGACAGGTCACACTGAAAAGAAGTCATCTCACTGACACCTTTCCAGAAATCCACACACTAGTGGGGAAATCCCTCTACGTGGCTGTCAGCGTGCTGACTGAGGGCGGTAAGAGACACTCACCAGCCTAGGAGTTCTGGGAAATTTCTGGGAAGGGGAAAGGTAACAGGGACAAGACACTGTCCTCTTAGTCATTTTGTCTACATACAAAATCAGCCCTTTTAGGACTTTGCTAAAACAGCATGTCGCCACCATTTTGTCAGGGAGTGACAACACCGATCAGCACCAAAAGGTGTCGGCATGCACTAATAGCATAAAAAGTTTTATTCTGTCTTATTCAAATCTATTCGTGGGGCAAGGAGAGCGGCTTTGTGACATAAAAATCAGCATTCAATGACGAGAAGAGCACCAAGGGGCGCTCTGTAGGAGACTCACAAAGAGACCAACATGACGTTGTTGTGGAGGATTTTTTTGGTGTTGGGAGTTTAGGTTTTTTCTTCACCAGCAACTCTTTCAATTTAACAAATGCAGCTTTTTGGGGGATGTCTGCCAGTATAATTTCCTAATGAGTTACGACCAATCAGCATGAGTTAACCACAAGTTCCACTCAGAGATTCTACCCGCCATTTCTGAGGGTAAATCCCAGTTACAGTACCCTGTTGGCCCCTGAAATGTGGTCTTTTCTGGATGGCCCTGTGAAATGGAGACACACACATAGAAGGTCTGGTAAAATGACCAGTGTGGAAACTGTGTGTGTTTGACTGTTTAATGTTGATTGAATAAGTATTTTTTAATGAACTAGACATGATCAAATGTAATACGATCAAAGCAAAGGATTGACAATATAAGACTTCATAAGAAAGTGTAAAGCACTTTGAAGTCCTCTGACTAAACGGTGCTAAACAAGTGTGGGTCGTTTATCATTTATTAATTAATAGAAAGTAATTATTGTTTTTTATTTGTTTCTTCTTCTGGCTCTTGGAGGGTGCAGACGCTTTTCTTCTCCTCTCCTCCATATCTTATCCTCAAGGCCTTTGTCTGTCTGTGTGTGTGTGCTGGGTGCACGGCTGCTTCTGCATTTTTTCTGGAAACTGGAAACTGAAATTCACTAAATTGGATCTCGTCGGTTGGTCTCTCAATGTGACTGATAAAAAATTTTTCAACGATGAGAATGGGAGAAGGGGCTCCCGGATGGCCCTCCGGGGCAGACCCAGTTGGACACATCATGGACTCCTGGAAACAGTGGAACTTGATTTGTCTATCTCAGCTGTCTGTAGAGGACTCTGAAGATGTGTGGATATTTGTGGTGATCGGCATTGGAGGCTACCTGGCTTACCAGAAAATTAATGAGCTGTCGAGGAATATTGGCCTGATCCCGGAGCTCAGAGATGGTTTGCACCGCGCTGTGAATTCACAGACTCAAATAATTGTCGAGATGAATCGTAAGCTTGGAACTTTGGCCAAGATTCATTCATTGGCACAGAAGATGGATGCCATCAAGGATAGAGTGGACGAATCAGCATGGATTGGGATAGTTTAATGTCCATTATTGGGATTTTGAGAGGTTGAGGACCAAGGAACTTTATGACAAAGAGGAAATTATCTCTGTCTGGCCCCAAAACAATTTCTAATCGGAATCTGGCATCCTTGAGCCTGTAAGGCTACAACAAAAACTCCCCTCTCAGAAAATATGTGGAATGTGCCGTCGCTATGGCAGCTCAACTCTGTCTCCTATCCCAGCCTGGGCGGGACTGCGGAAAGGCCGCTGAAACGTTCCAGGGTCACTGCAACCCTCCAACCCTCAATGCTCCTCCCCCTATCCACACTGAGGTGACATGTGCTGCTTCTATCATGGCAGCAGGAACTGAAGTAGGGATAGTCCCAACCCACCACCCCACCTAGTGGACACTTATGTTGTGTTGTCTGAAGTCTGTTGCATAAATGTTTGAGGTGTTTTTTTGCAGAGCAAAGCTGCCCTCCCAGTGGAGGGTAACTCTGAAGTGCCTTTTTTTTTCCCTCCACCTGAACCAACCCTCATGCAAACCCCTCTTATCTCTATTAAGGTAGCGCGACTCAGGGTTGCGAATGACCACAGTCACCAATTCTTGTCATGTGTCTTGCCCATGTATGTCTGATCTCTGAATTGTGTGTACTGAAACTCTAATTTCCCTCTGGGATTAATAAAGTATCTCTGATTTGATTTGATTGATTCTGATAAATGTGAGGGCAGATGAAAAACAAACAAACCTTATGATCATTACACTTAAGCAAGTTATCTACTAATGTTTTTAAAACACACCGACGGAGCAACAATCTGTAGAGTGACTCTTGCGCACATTGTCTGTTCTTATATCTGCTGAATGTCTTGTAAATTAAACAGTGTGCATGTCGTCCTGTTACAGGAAGTGAAATGGTGGAAGCACAGTTAAGAGGCATCGAGATTGTCACATCACCCTACAAAATCACTTTCCTAAAAACTCCCAAATATTTCAAACCAGGAATGTCCTTTGATGTTGTGGTAAGGAACAAACTTTATTAGCGTTTTCAGACTTGAGAAACAAACTTGGATAATTCTAAAAAGGTCATTTTTCTCTCCTTACCTGCAGGTTGAAGTGGTGAATCCTGACGGCAGCCCAGCTAATAATGTTGTAGTGGAAGTTGTTCGGCATAATGTGCAAGGCCTCACGGCTCCCAATGGTGTTGCAAGACTGACCATCAACACACAAGGAACAGACATCTCTTTGGAAATTATTGTAAGCAGGAAAACAAACAAAAAATAATGAAGGAAAAGTTCTAAGTTTTTGTTTTCCTCGTCTTATTTGGGTTGGGGTGGCAGGGGCAGCAAAAGCCCAGACTGTCCTCTCCTCGTTTCCTGGGAGACATCCTTGGGAAACTCTGATCCCATCTCCGAACCACCTAAAACTGTTTACGCAGAAGAGCAGTGGCTCTACTCCATGATGTCCGAGCTTCTTCCCCTTTCTACAAAGCCAAACTCCTTTCAGCTGCTTGTATCTTTGTTACTAAACGAGGTGGTTTCTCTTCGGACATGAAGGTGTTTCTAGTTACCTTTTACATGTTTCGACCGCCGTTTGCGGTCTTCTTCAGAAGTGTCACAGGTGTTTGTGTGACGCGTCTTTAACAGCTGTTCTTCTGGTGGGCGCGGCCAACCCAGATCTGTCAGAACCGCCGGGTCGGTCACGCCCACCTCTGCTGGCTGGTCTTTGGAGAAGGCAATCCCAGGTGCGAGACAGCTGTCATGCCCCCTCGTCTCTGTTCATGTTCCACTCTTCCCGTTTCCTTATTTCTATTGCCTCCCTGACCCAACGTTTGAACAGCTGATGAAGACGCGTCACACAAACACCTGTGACACTTCTGAAGAAGATTGTAGACGATGGTCGAAACATGTAAAAAGGTAACTAGAAACGCCTTCATGTCCGAAGCAAAAAGAACCTCATTTAGTATTTAAAAACAGGACATAATGAACACTGTAAAGGACTGTATCTTTGTTCTTGCTCTTTTGGTCATTTCTCAAAGCTCTTGGCCATGGGTGAGAGTTGAAACAGATCGATCTGTAAATCAAGGCCTTCAATGTTCACATCACTGCACAGGCTGCTCCAATCCACCGGTCAGACTCCATCCCTCTTTTTACTCATTTGTGAACAAGTATCTTGAGATCCTACATTTTAGACAGAACGTCTTCCCCAACTTGGAGTTGTGGTCGAGAACAATGACCTTGGACCTATGGGTGCCCATCCTCACTGTGCCTGCACACTTGGCTGCAGATAATAATTTCACCACATCAATTAATGGAAACAACAATGAAAATTGAACAATGAGAACATTTTTACCGTCTGTCATCCCATTCATGTTTTTTTACAAGCTTAACAAACTCTTGATTTCAATTACAGGCACGAACAAAAGCTCCTAACCTTCCTGATGAAAGACAAGCATCAGCCAACATGGTCGCGACCCCCTACTCCAGCAACACCCAGCGTTACATCCACATAGGTAAATGATATTCTGCAACAGCACTTCAGAGGCAGAAGGGGTGGCGTTAACATTGGAAGTTAATTTTCATGCAGCTTTTTTAACGGTCCTTGCGAATTTTAAATTTTGCAGGTGTGGACACAGCTGAGGTGAAAGTCGGAGACAACCTGAAAATAAACCTCAACCTCAATAACCAGCCAGGCCACCAAACAGACATCACGTACCTGGTGTGAGAGGTTTTACATCTATGTTTGATTTCTGCTGTAAACTGACAGAAAGTACTGATGTACAAACATGTGTCCTCAGATCACAAGCAGAGGCCGGCTGGTGAAATCTTCACGTTACAAAACAAAAGGCCAGTCACTGATTTCCCTCATACTCCCTGTTACCAAAGAATTGTTGCCATCCTTCCGCATCATAGCCTTCTACCATCCCGCTGATAATGAAGTGGTGTCTGACTCACTTTGGGTAGACGTGAAAGATTCCTGCATGGGCTCGGTAAGAAACGGAAACAGGACGCACACAGATGTGGAACAAGATTCCATTCTGTTCCAAATCGTTTTAGTTCTGATAAATCTTCTTGCTTTCAATTCTTGTGTCCCTTGTTTCTAACCACAACAGCACGGCGAGTCATCAAGGGGTACCATTTTGTGTCTAAGCATTTTATTTATTGCTTCTTTATGTGCAGCTGACTTTGCAATCAACCAGACCCGTCCCCTCCTATGAGCCTCGCAAGATGTTCAATCTGAAGATCACTGGAGATCCAGGTGCAACGGTGGGATTGGTCGCAGTCGACAAAGGCGTTTACGTCCTAAACAACAAGCATCGTCTAACCCAGAAAAAAGTAATTACTTTGACTTTTAAATCTGTAAAGTGGATTAAGTGTTAACTCCATCCGATTACAGGAAGTCTGAGTCTGGCTTGGTTATGTTGCTACCCTGCAGGTGTGGGACATTGTAGAGAAGTACGACACTGGGTGCACACCAGGGGGTGGAAGCAACAGTATGAATGTGTTCTTCGATGCTGGGCTGTTGTTCGAGTCCAGCATCTCTTTAGGAACTCCCTACAGACAAGGCAATTATACTTCTACACTGCAACAATTTCTGACGTTTGCTTCTAATTCTGTACAAAAACATGAATGATAGTTAAATTTAAGATTCTTATTTGTTTGTCTGCAGGCTGTATGTGGCCCAATTATGAGTATGATTGACTTGACTTGTTTATTACTTTTGAATTTTTGACATATTCCAGAGCTGAAATGCAAGACTACAGCCAGACGAAAGCGAGCCACGACTATATTATCAGTCAGAACCAACCTGAGTAAGAAACGCACCGATAATTAACCAAATATGAGAGTTTTTTTATATTTTTGGCAAAACAGATTTTTTTATTATTTTTTGACTCACTCAACAACTTGTCTTTCTTCCCAGTGAGTAAATATAATAACGAACGGCAACGAGAGTGTTGTTTGGATGGCATGAAGGAAATCCCACTGTCGTACACATGTAAGCGACGTGCAGAGTACATTTTGGACGATCCTGACTGTGCTGAAGCATTTGTGCACTGCTGCAATGAGATGCAAACCAAGAGAGCGGAGAACAAAGAGGACGAGCTTCGTTTAGCTCGCAGTAAGAAACCGGAGCAATCAAACCGGAGGTGACATTCACAACACCATAAAATAAGCATTTACCTATCTTTTAGGTGAGAGCGATGACAGTTACATGGACAGCCAAGAAATTGTTTCTCGCACTAACTTTCCTGAAAGTTGGCTGTGGTCGGACATCAAACTCCCAGCCTGCCCTCGACCTAACTGGTGAGCCATTTTAAATGTACAAACAAGTGGGACAATGCTACTCACACGGATTCATCCTTTATACAAATGTTGTGTTTCAGTGAGTCCACATCTTTTGTGAAAAACGTTCCTTTAGTAGACTCAATCACAACCTGGCAGTTCACGGGCATCAGCTTGTCAAGAACACTTGGTGAGAAATCCATAACGACAGTTTGAATGCTGCAGCACTTTTCCTTACACTTAAAGCTGTTATAGTGAAGCTAGGTGTGCCGGCATGTTCACAAACACAAGAGACACGAGTGTTCCTTTTACTGATGTTTAATGGGGTCTTGCATCTTCTTTTGACTTTGCACCACAAGAACACCATAGAACTAATGAAAAAACATGAATAATGTGCAAATAATTAGCTTACTTGTTTCATGTTTGATCAAATATATATCCTATAAAATAAAGAATAAACATACCAATTTGTCCTAGCCTAGTGAACTAGACCAAATTCTTGCTTTGCAGCGTTAGGTCTAGGAACGCTCCACTTGTAACCTCCGCAGCCCCTAGAAGCATCCTGGCTAGCCAATCACAGCTTTCTAGAGGGGTTTCAAACACATAGAGAGCTGTGATTTGTCCATAATGGTGGGCCAATCATAGCTCTCTATGTGCTTTGTGAACCAATCACAGCGCTTTATCCGCTTTGTGGGCCAATCAGGGCACTCTTTTCGACTGGTGGGTGGGATGATGCAACAGAGTGGAAAAAGATGGTGACAGCTCTTTCGAAATGGCTTTTACATTAATTTTGGACTACTTGGACTATTTGGACTAGGGCTCTATTAGAATCAGGAGCAGATAGATGTATTTAAGTTATTGTTTTTAGGAAAAAAAAAGGATGTATTCTCACCTTCTTCAACAGCGGACGGCCTCGTTTACCGACATCCATTGTGGTGAGTACGTCACGTTGTTCATTGTCCAGAAGCGTAAAGGAGATCGTTTGAAAGACAGTGGTAGAACCCGCCCCATGACCGAGAGCCGTCAATGGAGCATTGCCAGACTAAATAATACATTTATTTAGTCTGGTTTACCAGGCTAACTTTGGCCTGCTTGTAGACAAACCGGTGGACTTGAAAACACTTGATTTTTTTCCTGAAATGTCCTTAATTGGCACAAAATGGTTCATTCGCATCAATAAAAATCCCTACACTTAATTATCTTCCCTCACCACCTTGTTCTCCACATATTTTATCTTTAAGGAATCTGTATTGGTGATCCATTGGAAGTGATTGTGAGGAAAGAGTTCTTCATTGATCTTCGGCTGCCTTATTCTGCCGTTCACGGGGAGCAGCTGGAAATAAAAGCGGTCCTTCACAACTACAGCCCAGACGTCATCACTGTAAGTCATAAACACGGGCTTATGCACCTGATTGATCTTAACTCATGAACTGCCAGCCCTTTCCTGATCAGAAAAGCCATCAATGCCAAAACTACCAAAACAAAGAGTAGACTTACTTCTTTGTTAGAGATTTTATCAGTCACCTAATACTGTGTGTCCACCCCCCAAAACAAGCTGGCTAAATAACATATAATACTAAATGAATGTTAACATAAACCATTAAATGAATGTTAAACGACTAAATGTCAAACACAATGCGACCTTTAACCAAACCATATAGGTATATATGTAATGACTAAGTAACTGCAGACATTAGGCAACATTGAATCAACAAAAGAACACACATAAGAGAAAATGAACCGATTAAACCTTTCAACAGAGAACAAAAATCATGAGTATAATCGAGTGTGATTACCCTTAGCAACATTTCAACCAGTAACTGCATGTGAATATGCGATTAAAAATACAAACTTATATGAAATAAATGATTGACGAGGATACGAACAAACAACTAAGTGATGTCGATATGGCTAGACCTATAAAAACATAACAATGAGTGTAATGAATATACTTGATGCAACAACACAACTGCTCAACCAAAATAGGTAATGGAGTCAGAGTCCCAGTTGCAGAGCTGAAAAAAAAAATGGAGTGAAGAAAAACACAAGAGTCAAGTTCAGTTTTATTGATGACTACTGCAGGGGTCTTGTCGCTGGAAGAGGACTTTGAGGCCGATTCCTTAGTCAAGTACATGTAACCACATCAACAACATTCCTTATGAGATGCAAAGATTACTCCACAGCCGTCCCATCAGGCGTCCCGTTCTCCAGACACATTGGAAATCGTGCTGAGTCCAATGCAGCCATTTCCATTTGCACGTATTGAGACGACGCAGCAAGGTTCATTTGGGCAGCCAGAGTTCGCTCCCACAGTTTCCTCACAACAGGTAGGATGCAACATGCCAATAGAGAAATCAGAATTAGTACTACTATTGCACTAATTCCTGCCTTTACAAAAATAGCTCCCCACTGACCCAATTTGATGGCTAAGAGGTCTAAGGACCAGCTTTCCCTGCCTGCATTCTCCTTCAGCTCTATCTTTAAGTCTTTCAACTTCCTCATACCTTCAGTGAATGCACCATCAGGGGCCGTATTACTTGGAATGTAAGTGCAACATTCTTGCCCATTTGAGTTTAGAAACTTACAGAGCCCACCCCTCTCGGCCAACAACCAGTCCAAAGCCTGGTCGTGCTGCAAAGTCATTTTGACTGTGGCATGAAGGAGGCCGAGGTTATTTACTGTGTAATTTAAGATTCTTTGCTGATTAAAATAAACATAGTTGATCCATTTCACATTCTTATTTATTGTTATCCAAGGAAGAATTGACTCTAAACCAGCTACTACCTCATCTCTTGCTTGAAATTCTACGGGAATTCCTGTCGGCAGTCCTATGGCGTGTAAATGTACTTTATGGTCAAACACATCATACCTCTTTGTCCTACGTCTATTGGTAGTCTCCAACTGAAGTAATTCACTCACACCTTCATGCAAGATGGTCACTGGAACTTTCATACGCACTAGCGTACACAACCCAACCCAAAAACTTGGCAAAACATTCATTAGAACATCACCACCACACATCCAGTAGCTGTCGGCCACTGGAATGTCTTGCTCACCTAGTAGATCAAGAGTAGGAATCATCATCGATATATCATCACAATCCTAAGAGTTACAGGGTTTTCATACCAAACAGGGGTGTCAATAAGAAGTGATGTCATATTTGCATGCGGGAAGCAGGATAATGCCCAAGTGTCTTTACAATTGACAGATGTATTACCTACGTCCACTCCTCCATTGTCAGCGAAACCTCCACTTGCAAAACATTCATAATCAGCACTATAATCAATTTTGTAGTCCGTTGGAGGACCATTTTGGTCTGTTTGGATTGCAAATTCGGCACATTCATCTAGGATGTTATATTCTGCATATTTTAACATATTTGTACTTATCTCGTGTACTATGGAGCAATCTGCATTGAAGTCCACACAATGGCAACTTAAGAAGAAGTGGAATCTTTTTATTGATCTCTATTTCCTCTCTAGTCTTACATGTGCATCGTTGTGCAATGGCACATTCACAAGAAGTATATTTTTCTGGAACAACCTCAGGTAACATTCCGGGTGCTTGAGCGCACACTATGCAGTCATTCGGAGTCATTTCTCTTGTCGTATACAAAGCCCATTTATACCAACTATTTTGCATGGCAGCGTTCCAAAGCCTATCCTCTATAGGCAGTGGTCTGCTCGCTCTAGGGGAGATAAGTCCTATGTTTCTTCCGGCCCTAGGTCTAATTGGCCCAAATGGTGGCTTAGGTACAGCTTTGCGATCAGTTACTTCTAGTTCATTTTGTCCATCCCGAGTAAGATTACAAACATGGCTACTACCAGAGGTTGCTGTAGGAGAACCAGATTTCATGGCTACACTGCCTGTGGGAGTTGTAGTACTAACAGGTGGCTTAGTGGTTACGCTTCTCAACTTGCAAATTGGCGTTGTTTTAGATCTTAAAACCAGCGGAGTCACCAGCTGTAAGAGAGAGGAAGAGCACCAGTCGAACCACCAATCTTTAACAGGGATTGTGGTAGTCAAAACATCAGGGATTACAGTAGTTGTAGCACTAGTAGTTAAAACATTATTTGGAACTGTGGTTACACTGTCAGGGATTTTATTTGTCTTAGTTGTGGTCAAAACATTGCTTGGAATCGTGGTTGTTACACCAGTTTTAACAATTGCTAAGTCGAATGCAGGCAAGGATGCCGACCTATGTTGCATCCGGCCTGCTGGATTGTATTTAACTTGATCATGGTGTGCTGCCTCGTCATTGACCAAGTCGTCTGGCGTATGCTCTTGTGATGGGTCGACGAGTTGCTCCTCGGCCATCGTCTCCATCTTCACCTCCTCCAGCACCACCATCAGACCCCCTAGTGTTATCCAAAACAGAACTGTTATTAGCATGCCCTTCTTTTCCTCGGCCATCATGCCGGTTTGTTAAGTCAGACACAATACCGCCCTGAGTTTTGTCTTTGACTTTCGTGCAGTGTGTCAGATGATGCCACATCGATCCTCCTTCGACCTGGACTGCTGTTGGCATTGCTCAAACCACTTTGTAGGGACCCTCTCGCCGCGGTTCGTGCCACTTCTTCCTGAAAACTTTGATGTACACCTGGTCTCCAGGAACCACTGGCCCGTCTGTGCCTGCGCTAGAGACGAGCTCCTTTCTCTTTTCCTGCAAATTGATGGCTTTATGGATGCTAGTTAGTTGCTTGATATAGCTTTTGAATTCAAGCTCTAGCTACTCCAACGAGGGCCCCTTGTGGGGTCCCCTGAGCTGAGGAGCTGGCATTGGCCTGCCTGTTAGAACCTCATGAGGTGAAAGATGCGTTCTTCTGTTAGTTTGCATGTGATAGCTATAGGCGTCATTTTAACCGGGGACGCCGGGGACATGTCCCCGGCAAAATTTCTGATTGGCAGCTGTGTCCCCCCCACTTTAAAAAAAGCCTGCTGATGAGGATTTTTGTTTTACCAGCTCAGATCTTATACCAGGGGTCGGCAACCTGTTCCCATCAAAGAGCCATTATTACCCATTTCCCACAGTAAAGAAAACACTGGGAGCCACAGCGGCCGCAGCATTGTGGGCGGGGCCTACCCTCAGAGAGCAGAGAGCTGCTCACAACCAGGTGACAGCAGCCGGTACCGGTCGCTCGCATGGCCGTCGCACCCGTGGGGGATTCAACACCCACACTTTTCCAGCTGTTTTGCTCACCTCTGCACCAGTCTGGTTTCTTTATGTCGCACTCACTGTTTGCCTCATCTCCTTCTTCACCTCCCGCTTCTGACAGCCGATGTCGGGTTTCCAGGAGAGCAGGAGAGAGAGGGACGGAAGAGCTCGACTGAATTCATGATTTTACATCTTGACATTAGCTGTACAAAGTCTGAGTTTGATAAAGTGAAGAACAACAATTTGCAGAGGTTTATAACAGGCGCGGTGCCAGGTTTTCATTTTTGGGTGGGCCACGGTAATTTTGGACGGACCTTAATAAGCAGTGACTTAGTGAAGCAGGCAGGTCGCGCTAGAAAATTTAGTTTAAAAAGACGTCATAAACGTGTTCCCCCGTCATTTTTATTTCTAAAATATGAAGTAAAAACTCCCAGTTTAATTTTCATTCATTTGTCATTAATATGTAGTCTACACCCGTGCGTTAAGTGGACCATCTTCCAGTAAAAGCAAAGCATCCTGCCCACCTCTCCAAATGCGTAAAATGTGCATCACAGCCGCTAGTTAGGCGCGCCGCGCGCTCCGTCAGCTACATCAGACCAGACAAGAGCAGAGCAAATAGAGAAAGAATAGAGGATAATTGTGTCTGGATGTGGATGGAGATTACATTTTACAGCAGCCTGATCATCATTTAAATACGTAAACCATCACCTGTCTTCTAGTCCACGCTATCAGCTTTATTTTAATTGGTGTGTGTGTGTGTGTGTTTTCCACTTCAAACGCTGGTCTAACCAACCAGACCAGCGTGTCCAGTAACATATTAATGTTTCACTTCATGTAGGCTAGGAACATTCCACCTGCCGTGGCCCGACCGCTTCTGCTCCACATAAACTTTGTGCGTGATCAAATGTCCCTACAGGTGCTTTCTGAGCTGAAGAGGCTATTCTGCCTCAGACTGGATGCGTCATGCATCTCCATATTAGAGACGGGAACAAGCGCTGTTCAGCCAAAGTTTCATAATTTCATAAAAAGAACATTTTTCCAAGTGACACATCCCTCAGAGAGACCGGGTTTCCAGACTGTTTCAGTGGAAGGAAATCTTATCGCATGCGCCGTGGTTCTGCACTGCTCTGCGAACCCCAGATCTTCAGCTCACTGTCCACCGTGGGCACTCCGAGCCGCGCTGAACACAGTGTCCAGTATAAAGCTCTGATGTTCTGATGGGAATCAAGTTACCTCTGCGATGTGCGTAACGATTAAAATGTCAGCTCATCCATGCGCATCAGTGTGCGTCGGGGTAATTCTTTCAAAACAACCAACATCCTTGAGTTTATCCGTCAATATGTGGCAAGGTGGAGAAACGAGAGCCCAGGCGGGATTCGATCCCCAGACTCCCGGGTGAGAGTCATACGCTCTAACCAGTCAGCCAAAGGGACATCCCCTTGGCCAAGTAGCCAGGGCGCATTATCTATCGGGACACTGTGACAGGACACTCACACTGCCACACCTGATTATGAAACTTTGGCTGAATAGTGCTTGTTCCTGTCTCCAGTGTGGCGACGCATCCAGGAACCTGTCTGAGGAGAAGCCCAGAATCGGACATCCTCCAGCTCAGGAAGCGCATATGATTACGCACAAGCGTGACGCATCAACCCGGTCTCACAGTAAGACCGGGTTGGACCTGTTCAGGTTTACGCAGACAATCTTTACATTTAGAATTGACATACAGATGTAAAATTAATGCAGTAAAATATAAAGCTTTTTATTTAAATATCCATTCATTATTTTACAAGCACAGAGAGCCACATCAGATGGATGGAAGAGCCTCATGCGGCTCCAGAGCCGCGGATTGCCGACCCCTGTGCTAGCCTACTTTATTGTCCCCAGCAATTTTTAAACCCCACTCAAGTGTATGGTTATTGTCCCCAGCAATTCTGAAAACAAACTGATGCCCTTGGTGATAGCTCATTAAGGCAAGCGGCAATGCATCAATCCAGTTAAGGTTAGTGCAAGCACAGATTTTGTAGCCTAGTGAACTAGACCAAATTCTTGCTTTGCAAGAGACATTAAAATCATCCTTCATGGAAAATCATCAACAAAAACATATCATTACAGTTATTTGGACTGTTTGAACTATTTAATCCCATTTGAAGATGAAAATAAAGGTATTACTCCAGTAGTGAGAGAGTAACTATGTTGTTTATGTATCTGCATCTTTCTCCATTTCATCTTGTTTTCAAGGTTAAAGTAGACCTGCTTGAAGAAGAGCATGTGTGCAGCTCAGCTTCCAAACGTGGAAAGTACAGTCGGATTGTCAAAGTCGGAGCCCAAGCCACACAGTCTGTTAGCTTCATCATAATTCCAATGAAGGAAGGACAACGCAGCATTGAGGTGAAAGCCAGCGTTAAGGACTCGTCGCTGAATGACGGAGTCAGAAAGATGCTGCGGGTGGTGGTGAGACTTTTAAAACATCATTACTTAATTTATTCAACTTCTGTTGCTTGTTTTATTTTGAGTTTAAAACATATTTTTCTAATGATAGTCCAAAATCAAATCAATGTATCTGTTAGGAAATTGTTTTGCAGAGAAAACACCAGCGGTAGCTCAGTCACAGCAAAAACAAAGCACATATGCCAGAAGAATCGATTAAAGGAATTTTAAAAATAAGTTTTGGCATTTAACATGCTGGGGGGGGGGGGGGGGGGGGGCAGTAAAGCTTGGTTTATGCTTGACGCATTCACTTTCCGCTTGGTGATGCAGCTCGCGGATGGAACGCGCTTCACAACTTGCAGCGTTTATGGTTCACACGGCTTGTCTCTGCGGTGAGCCAATATTCTCCCAAACTGTAGGGGGCAGCATGGAGCTCTACGGCATGCATCCAACACTACACCATAGTAGAAGTAGAAATTACTGTTTACAACATGGCATTCCAGCATTTTTTAACAGCTTCCTCGTCTTTTCCGACAGTGCGAGCTATTTCTCTCCAAGAATTATTAACAACATGTTGATCACGGTGATCTCTGAGAGCTGAATCATACAAATGTCTGTATTTACGAACCTCTGCCATACTAGTTCTTGCCAGTATACTGCCATGTTTTTCCATGTCCGACCGTCCGCGTGGTTAGAAAATTTCCTAGGTGCACGGTGCGGAAATTTTGGGCCGTGCGGAGGCGCGGAGGGGCCTGGTTGTTAAAATGACGCAACTTTTCCGCGCGGAGCCGTGCGAACCTTGCGGACGCGTCAAGCATAAACCAACCTTAAGAGTGAAGAGCATGTGAGGAGTTTATGGAAATCTGGTAGCCTTTCCTCAGGGCTCTAGTGCTGTAGGTGGTTTTAAGTGACTGCTGATCAAGTTGTTGCCCCTTCAGTTGAAGCTCAGGCCTGAGATCTGGCAGATCGGTCCTATCTGTTGGAGGTCTGATGAACACTGGCACTGCCGACATCTGTCACCTCTACTACAATCAGTTTGTCTACAGACCTTCAACCCTTTCATTACCTTTTCTAAATATGTCACAGATAGACTTCAACACACACGAGTTCTGAGTCAGAACAGAAGACTTGAAACTCAATTTCATGTAAACAATAAGATTACTGAGCTTTTGCTTTTGACTTAGTGAAGTTCTATTTAACAGTCAATGGTGTATAAAACCTGTAGAGATTAGGGGCAGCAGAAGCTTGGTGGGTACAGCGGGCTCACCAGTAATACAAAGGTTGCAGGTTTGATCCCAGCTCTGGATGGAGAATGCTGCAGTTGTGTCCTTGGGCAAGACACTTAACCCACCTTGCTTGCTGGTGGTGGTTGGAGGGACCGGTGGCGCTTGTGCTCGGCAGCCTCACCCCTGTCAGTGCACTCCGGGGCAGCTGTGGCTACGTCGTAGCTCATCACCACCAGTGTGTGAATGGACGAATCATTCACTGTAGTGTAAAGCGGTTTGGAGTCCTCTGACTCTGAAAGGCGCTATTCGAGTGCGAGTCATTCATCATTTAGGTAGATGTTAGATGGTCTGATAATTTTAGTAATTAATAATAATTAATAGCATCATGGTGTTCTGGTCAACTCGCACCAACAAGGATGTTCATTTTTATCATTTTATCACAAACCAGTTAGAAAATTCATGGCTAATATTTGTCCTAATTTACTTGTTTTCCAGCCGCAAGGCGTACTGGTTCAGACTTCTCAGGATGTCACGTTAAATCCAACTGAACATGGCCAAAGTATTTTCACACATCATCAATCTTTTAGTCACAGTTTCTAAATGACTAACCAATCCGTCTTCATATTTCCGCTTTAGATGGTCAACAAGTGGAAAAATTAAACAGTAATATTCCCAGGAATGATTTGGTTCCAAACGCTCCAACGAGAACGGACATATCTGTGACAGGTGCACACCTTTACACCTTTGTGTAAACAAGTCAACAAGTTTTTTGACGAGGCACAATGTTTATTGAAATACTCCTTAATCACCCTTCTCGTTATTGCTTTGTCATTCCTGCACGCAGGGAGAGAACAAGTTTCCGGGCTAGTGGAGAACGTCCTCAGTGGAAGTTCATTGGGCACGCTGATCAAAGCTCCTGGAGGCTGCGGAGAACAGACCATGATCTCCATGACCCTGCCAGTCATTGCAACCTTATATTTAGACAAAACCAATCAGTGGGAAACTGTGGGCTTCCAAAGACGAAATGAAGCCATCCAGCACATAAAAAACGGTAAAATCACACAGACGACTACAGAGCACGACAGAAAGAATTAGAGTTAATAAAGAGAAAGTTAAATGTTTTTATGTTGTCTTAAAGTTGTGTTTTTGATGTCCAGGCTACCGACATGAATTAATTTACCGTAAAACTGATGGGTCCTTTGCCGTTTGGGCACACGATAAAAGTAGCAGCTGGTGAGTCATTCAGAATGTTATCCTAATATTTAAACTAGCAAAATATGTACTTTACATACAAATGCTACTCTCCTTTGTTTCTCAAGGCTGACAGCATACGTTGCTAAGGTCTTTGCTATGGCTAACACCTTGGTGGCGGTGGAAAGTGAACACATCTGTGGTGCTGTGAAGTATCTGATCATCAATGCTCAGCAGCCCGATGGCATGTTTAGAGAAATTGGAAGAGTGTATCATGGAGAAATGATTGTGAGTTCATCAATAGATGCTGTAGATTATTTATCTGTCCTCTGGAGAAATATTTAGTTACAAAACTGATGGATCCCCCTTTGTTTTTTTGTTTTTTGGACCACAATGATAACCCTTCCTGCAACATTTGGCTACTGTGTGTCTGTGTGTAGGGTGATGTGCGTGGCAAAGACTCAGATGCCTCCATGACAGCCTTTTGCCTCATTGCCATGCAGGAAGCACGGACAGTATGCACACAACATGTAACTGTAAGTATTTCCAGCATTGGGGTTGTTTTGTTTCAAGCTTGTTTCTGTCAGACATCTTCATTTCATTTTTCTATAGTTGTTTTCAGTGTTAGTATGTTAAGGAACTATTAATAATAATAATATTAATAGATAATTTAATAATAAAACTGGAGTAACTATTTCTCTGCATTTGAACCTGAGCAGCAGTGCTGTAAGCTGCTAGTTGCCGGAGAGGCGATCTTCAGGGTTTGGTATCTTACCCAAGGATTCTTTGGCTAATGGCTTGCTGGGGCCTAGCATCAAACCACTCCCCCCATTCAGCCACAGATGTCCCATTATACTAAGAATGTTATAAATATAATTTCAGCTCAAAAGAGGAAGAAATACAACAGGAGTTGAACAGTAAAAGTACGTTTTGAAGGGTTTTCTTGCAGCATTTTTAAGAACTAATGATAGTTTTGGTTTGCAAAAAGTCACAACTGGGCCGGTTGTTGATTACTGCAACTTAAACAACTCAAACAATGTTGGTGGGGAAGGTTCTCAGTCTTCCAGGTCATGGTAATCCAAAGAACTCAGATAAAGGCAACTGGAGTTTTGTCAATTCTGATTGGAATATGGGAGAGTCAATAAACTGTTGCTGTCTGTTGTTGCTTATCGAGCTGAAACTACATATGAACACCCTTCTTCTCCACCCCTCAAAGAGTAATTGATGTCATTAGATCCTATAGTGTTAGAATGGTTGTTTTGATTGGATGCAGGAGGGTGTGACCTAGACTGAAACTGTTTTGGAATTGGGTCAAGAGCTGCTTTGTAGGTGCTGATAAGGGGAAACCTGAGGCCCCCTTCTCTATTTAATGTAGGTTTTTCCCATCTGACATATATGGCTTCCTTTACTCCTCTCTCAAACCATCAATCTTCTCTGTCCTCTGTGTAAAAATGTTGCAGCATTTTTACTACATTTTAAAACTCCTCCACAGTCATTTTAAAGTTATTTACAGCAGATTTTTCTACATAAGACACAATAATCTAATTTTAAATTGACAAGTATGAACTTAAGCTTTTTGTGACAACACTGATGTCTCCAATGGCAGCCAATTCACACATAATGTTCTGGTGTTCTTTCCTTTTCTAGAGTCTTCAATCCCAAATAGACAAAGCGATATCCTACCTGGAGAAGCGTCTGCCCACCCTCACCAACCCTTATGCGGTTGCCATGACATCATACGCATTGGCCAATGAAAACAAACTAAACCGGGAAATCCTCTACAAGTTTGCTTCTCCTGGTAATTTTATTACACATTTTGAAGTATTATGTCATGCTGGGCTGCAGCTTTTTGACCCACGACATGCAGAATCATGCACGGAGACAAAGGTAAGTAAAAAGTTTTATTATAATGTACGAAGGAGATGATGGTCTGAGATCCGATGGTTCCGGTGGGGTTCTAGAACAGAGACTGGAGTGAGTATATGCAGGTTTGACCGTGAAAGAAATGAGTTTGTAGCTTACAGTTTCCTGGTTGTTGGTAAGGCTGAGAGGGGTGGGCAAGTCACGGCTGGCTGAGCTGGTAGAGCGAGAGTCAGGTGAGGCTGGGAGCTGAGTACCAGAGTTGGAGGTGTCCGAGTTGGCAGGTGGGGATTGGAGAGCAGGCGGTCAGGGGTGAGCGACGGGACTGGCAGACAGGGTTGGAATCCGGTGAGTTTTCTTGCAGCTGATGGAGGCTTGGTTGGTGGAGGAGAAGTTTCCTGAGGAGGTCGGAGGAGAACAGGACAGATAATCTCAGGAAGGCGAGATACACAAAATAACAAGTTTTCAGACATGAGCTAGGTGCTGGCAAAGTTCTACCCAATGCTGAGTATCATCCGGTACTGATGAGTTGTCCCAACGCTCCTTAAATCCCCTGACCACTGATGAACAGATAGGTAGCAGCTGCTCTCCAGCTGCTCTCCAGACACACCCACCTGCACACAGAAGACTCAGCACAACACAGTTAGACTCAGCAAAAACCATGACAGTACCCCCCCCCCTCAAGGGCCGCCACCCGGCGGCGAAGAGGAGGAGGAGGAGGAGGCGGAGGCGGAGGCGGCACGAGAAGCGTCAAACTCCCGGATGAGGGATGGGTCGTCAATCCAAGAACCGGGGATCCATTGACGGTGCTCCGGGCCATAACCCACCCAATCAACCAAGAACTGGCGACCTCGGCCACGGGGTCTGGCATCCAACAGGCGACGAACCCGGTAACCCATACTACCATCAGCAAGACGGACAGGCGGCGGAGGATCAGAGGCAGAAGCGGGACACAGGGAACTGGATGACACAGGCTTGATGAGAGAGACATGGAAGACTGGATGGATCTTGAGCGAGGGAGGCAAAGAGAGACGAACAGACCAGGGACTGATGACCTCACATATGGTATAAGGACCTATGAACCGGGGGGAGAGTTTCTTGCTGGTGTCTTTGAGCTTGATGTCCTTGGTCGAAAGCCACACTTGTTGTCCACAAGCATAAGTAGGAGCCGGACGACGATGGCGGTCGGCCAGTCGCCGATTCCGTTCGGCTGTGCGGTGCAAAGCGGCACGAGTCTGGGTCCAGGTTCTTTTTGCTCGACGAATGACTGTGGCACGGTGGTTGTTGTAGGGAGATCAGACGGGAAGAGTGGAGGTTGATAGCCTAAAGAAGATTCGAACAGGGATTGACCAGTAGCAGAGGAAACATGGGTGTTGTGAGCGTACTCAATCCAGGGAAGTTGGGTGCTCCAGCTAGTTAGATTTGAGGAGCACACACAACGAAGCATGGCCTCCAACTCCTGGTTGAGTCGCTCACATTGGCCGTTGGTTTGGGGGTGATATCCGGAACTCAGGGAGACGCTGGCTCCAAGAGAGGTAGCAAATTCCTTCCAGACCCTGGAGAGGAATTGGGGACCACGATCTGAAAGGATTTCTGTTGGGATGCCATGTAGGCGGAAAACGTGTTTTATGAGAAGTTCGGCGGTGACGGCGGAGGAAGGAAGAGACTTTAAGGGGACGAAATGACAGGCCTTAGAAAACCTATCGATGATGGATAGAATAACTGAAAAACCCTTAGAGGGGGGTAGACCGGTGACAAAATCCAGGGCTATGTGGGACCAAGGGCGAGAAGGAATTGGCAGAGGTTTAAGTAATCCAGAGGGAGGTTGGTTAGTACCTTTATTGCGGGCACATACCTGACAGGCGCTGATGTATTCCTTTATGTCTCTGTACATGGAGGGCCACCAGAAGGACCGACGAACCAGAGCAAGGGTACGGTCAACTCCGGGATGTATTGAGAATCTGGCTGTATGTGCCCAGTGGATGACTGACCCTCGGACCTGTTGTGGAACATAGAGCTTCTGGGGAGGACCGTTCCCTGGGTCCGGGTCAGTTCGTTGCGCCTCTATTACCTTTTGTGAGATATCCCAGGTGATTGATGCCAGAACACAGGATGAAGTATGGTAGCGGGTTCCTGGTCTTTGTCTGTGGAGTACTGACGGGACAGGGCATCTGGTTTCACATTTTTGGTTCCGGGTCTGAAAGAGATAGTGAAGTTGAACCGAGTGAAAAACAGAGACCAACGGGACTGTCTGGGGTTAAGTCTTTTGGCTTCCTTCAGATAAGCGAGGTTCTTGTGATCTGTCCAGATTATGATGGGGTACTCAGCTCCCTCCAGCCAATGGCGCCATTCCTCCAGTGCGAGTTTCACTGCCAGCAACTCCCGGTCACCCACATCATAATTCTGTTCTGCAGGCGAGAGTTTCTTGGAAAAAAAAAGCACAGGAGTGAAGCAAGTTATCGGAAGGAGACCTCTGGGAGAGAACAGCCCCCACCCCGGAGTCTGAAGCGTCCACTTCAACTGTGAATTGAAGAGTGGGATCGGGACGAGACAGGATAGGAGCTTGTGAAAAACGAGTCTTTAACTCCAGGAAAGCGGTGTCTGCCTCAGGGGTCCATACAAAAGTTCTCTTAGTGGATGTTAATTTGGTGAGAGGTGATGCTATTTGGCTGTAGTTGCGGATGAACCTTCTGTAAAAATTAGCGAACCCTAGGAACCGTTGTAACTGTTTCGGGTGGTGGGAGTGGGCCAATCACGAACTGCTTGGATCTTCTCGGGATCTGTCTTCAACCGCCCGCTCTCCAAGACGAATCCAAGAAACTTCACGGATGAGGCGTGGAATTCGCATTTCTCGGCTTTAACAAAGAGGCGGTTTTCCAAAAGATGTTGCAGTACAGCTCGGACGTGATGGCGGTGTTCTGAGAGGTTGCTGGAGAATATCAGGATATCGTCGAGGTAAACTGTGACGAACTTATCAATGAAATCGTGGAGAATCAAGTTGACTAGTGACTGGAAAACAGAGGGGCGTTGGTGAGGCCAAAGGGCATTACCAGATATTCATAGTGGCCCAAGGGTGTCTTGAATGCCGTCTTCCACTCGTCACCCTCTCGGATACGGACCAGGTGGTAAGCATTACGGAGATCTAGTTTTGTGAAAATGGTGGCTTTCTGGACAGGATCAAAAGTGGAGGATAACAGAGGCAGAGGATACTTGTTTTTTATTGTAATTTGGTTAAGCCCTTTATAATCGATACAGGGGCGTAGAGAGCCGTCTTTTTTTGCAACAAAGAAAAAACCTGCTCCAAGAGGAGAAGTAGATGGGCGAATAATACCGGAAGCTAGAGATTCTGAAATGTAAGTGGCCATGCATTCCCGTTCGGGCTTGGACAAACTGTATAATCTACTGGAGGGTAATGTAGCGCCCTGCAGGAGATCAATACAGCAGTCGTACGGGCGATGAGGTGGCAGAGAGGAGGCCCGGTCTTTACAGAACACAGCTTGTAAATCATGATATTCAGATGGAACCAGAGACAGATCGGGAGGAGTAGGTGTACTGGAAACTGGAGCTGAGACAGAGAGGTTAGCAGATAGGAGGCAGTGAGATAAGCAATACGGGCTCCAGGATGAAATCTGATTGGTTTTCCAGTCAATGTGAGGATTGTGAGTGACTAACCAGTCATGACCCAAAACAACCGGAGTCTGGGGCGAAGGGAACATGAAAAAGGTTATGGATTCATGATGGTTACCGGAGATTAACAACTTTACTGGCGCTGTCTGGTGGGTGATGGTGGTCAGCGAATTACCGTCCAATGATGATGCCCTGATGGGGGTGGTAAGTGGTGTTGTAGGAATGTTGAGTCGGTCCACGATTGTTTGGTCCAGAAGGTTTCTCTCACAACCTGAATCCACCAAGGCCTTAGCAGGAAAGCAGACCTGATTAAATGAGACAGAGCAGTTTAGTTCACAACGGGAAGACTTGTTATCCATATTACCACCCACCAATACTCCCGGAATTATTGGCGGGCTCTCCCTTTTGGGCGAACAGGGCAACTAGACAGGAAATGGCCAGGCTTTCCACAATACAAGCAAAGTCAGGAGGAGAGTCTGTGTAATCTTTCCTCTGGAGTTAGGCTGGCCCGGCCAGCCTGCATGGGCTCGTCCTGAGGGACCGAAACATTGATGGGTCTTGGTGGTGAAGCGGATTGGACAAATTGGTTTTGCAACACTGGCTGATAACACGGCTGGACAGGTCTTGGGCGGCTTCGTTGCCTCTTCTCTATGCGGGCAGCCAAACTGATCAGGTCCTCCAATGTTTCTGGCTCTGGACAAAAAGCTAATTGGTCTTGCAAACTAGTATTGAGGGCTTGGGAGAAGGCTCCTTTAAGGGAGTCTGGATCCATTTTGGAGGTGGTAGCGAGGGTTCTAAAGTCTATGGCAAAATCTAGTACTGTTTGTTTACCTTGTTTCATATTCCATAATGTCTTTGATATCTCGGCGGGTGTTTCAGTATTGTCAAAAGTGTTCCTAAATTCAGTGAGAAAATCGTGCAATGTGCCTTTAAGAAAATCAGGATCACGACTACGTGCCTCTGCCCATTGTAGGGCGCGATCGCGGAGCAGACCTACGATGTAGGAAATCTTTATTTGGTCACTGTTGTATGTTTCAGGGTATGTTCCGAAAGTTAGATCACATTGCAGGAGAAAACCTCGAACTTGACCGAATTCACCCCGGTAAGTGTCTGATGGAGAAGACTCCGGGACCCAGAAATGCAAACGGGGTGCTTGGACGGTTTGAACCGGAAGCGCTTGAGCAGCTGACGGAGGAGCAGAAGGAATAGACGCTGTTAATTTATCATTGAACTGTCAGATTACGGATTCTAATTGAAACAGGTGTTGGTTTGTTTTGGACTGGTGCTCGAGAAGGGACTGGATGGAATTTTCGTGTTTGGATAAAGTCGAGGCGAGAGCCGGCGGGAGAGATTCTGCGAGTGGGTCGGAATTTTGACCGGATGATTCTGTCATGCTGGGCTGCAGCTTTTTGACCCACGACATGCAGAATCATGCACGGAGACAAAGGTAAGTAAAAAAGGTTTATTATAATGTACGAAGGAGATGATGGTCTGAGATCCGATGGTTCCGGTGGGGTTCTAGAACAGAGACTGGAGTGAGTATATGCAGGTTTGACCGTGAAAGAAATGAGTTTGTAGCTTACAGTTTCCTGGTTGTTGGTAAGGCTGAGAGGGGTGGGCAAGTCACGGCTGGCTGAGCTGGTAGAGCGATAGTCAGGTGAGGCTGGGAGCTGAGTACCAGAGTTGGAGGTGTCCGAGTTGGCAGGTGGGGATTGGAGAGCAGGCGGTCAGGGGTGAGCGACGGGACTGGCAGACAGGGTTGGAATCCGGTGAGTTTTCTTGCAGCTGATGGAGGCTTGGTTGGTGGAGGAGAAGTTTCCTGAGGAGGTCGGAGGAGAACAGGACAGATAATCTCAGGAAGGCGAGATACACAAAATAACAAGTTTTCAGACATGAGCTAGGTGCTGGCAAAGTTCTACCCAATGCTGAGTATCATCTGGTACTGATGAGTTGTCCCAACGCTCCTTAAATCCCCTGACCACTGATGAACAGATAGGTAGCAGCTGCTCTCCAGCTGCTCTCCAGACACACCCACCTGCACACAGAAGACTCAGCACAACACAGTTAGACTCAGCAAAAACCATGACATATTAATGACACTTTTGCCTTTTCCACTCAGATGTGTTGATAATGACATGAGATATGTTTGTGTCTTTAAATGCACAATAATATTATTTTGGCTAAAATGATCAAAAGGAAAATAAAAATTTGGATAGTTAATTCTGAAAATGAAAGAATGTTACAGGAGAATTACAAATAATTCTAATCTTATTTGCACATGTTGTCTACAACAGCCTAAAATATGCTTTAGTCTCTTCCTGCTAAAAAGGGAGTTTTCATTTCCACTGTCTCAGAATCGGCCATTGTATTTAAAGTGGTCCTAGAATTTAAAACCACAATTACTTTGTTGTTGGGGCAGCTTTGGGTGTCTTATCTACCATACCAAAAAGCCTTTGCCATCCCCAAAATGCTTCCCTTTGTAAGTTAGTAATGTATTAATGGCGTGGTATGCCCCCTTCTATCTAGGAGCTCAAGAGGGGATAACACAAAGTAGACAAACATAAAACGATGAACTCCAGGAGTTTTCAACAAGAAAACCAAAGTTGTTTTTTTAAGTCAATGAGGGTTTGAATAAAGCTACAAATAAAACAAACAATCTATATCTAATAAATAGTAAATTAAATTTAACCCACTGGGGAAAAAATCTACTGGAAACACTGGAATGAACACAACAGGAAGGCTCTACACAAACAGAAATACATCTAATTCTTAAGCAGGACTAAAACTAAAACACAACAGAAATCAAAGCTATAAACTATTCACACAGAAAGATGCCAACCGAAGAAGCACCAGGCTTCAAACCAAACCAAAATGTCCTTAAGTCTAATCAAACTACTCTCAGCTCAGAACGTTCACAACCACGTTTCAAAAGACAGAGTTGGTGTCAAGGCAAAAGGCTAGCTTAAACATTAACCACAGCACAAGGGGAGGAAAAACACAGTAGCTTTGTGTCCCGTAACCCCCCCAACTTTTATATTTTTGGTATTTTATAATCTATAGAATCTGAAAATATGAGAATAGCTTAGAATCTGGTCCTTTTTCAAAGTGACATCTAGCTTCTTGTTGAGCAGTTTAGGATTACTTGTGAACTGATGTTATGTAATTTAACTAATCTTAACTGAGTCAGACTTATTCAGTGGCATTTTATTTTTGTTTAACTCTGTGATGTAAGTGAATTGTTTGAAATTATGTCACATTAAATTACATTCAATCTGCTCAGCATGTTTGAGATGATTATATATATTTTTGTGTACATTAGAGTTAAACCACTGGCCTGTTCCTGGAAACAAGATTTTCGCACTGGAAGCGACAGCTTATGCTCTTCTGGCTCTGGTCAAGAGTGAGGTAAGCTCCTCCCACTTTTCCACATCATTTTATCATCACTAGAAAATGCAACCCATTATTATAAATGTAAACTACTATTACAATCAACCTTAAAGGTTTGATTATCCTCTTTTTTTAATGATAGGCCTTTGAAGATGCCAGACCTGTTGTTAGGTGGTTCAACCAACAGCAGTTTGTTGGTGGAGGCTACGGATCGACTCAGGTATCATCAACCATTCCATTCACCACACACTCCCTCACTTGTCCCTAGTTTTCCCTTTTTTATTTTACGTTTCTCTAATTTTCTCTCTTATTTCTGTTCAGGCTACGATCATGGTGTACCAGGCTTTAGCAGAGTACTGGTCCAAGGCGAACGAACCAGAATACAACCTGAATGTAGACATCTTGTTGCCGGGTAGAACAAAGTATGATAAGTTCAACTTTAACAGGGAAAATCAATTTACCACAAGAACATCTAAAGTAAGGCCACAAACTTTTATTTACATTTTAATTTTGTCGACTTATTCTCATGTGTGTCCTTATGTTCTTATTTTAATCTCAACAGTTTAACGACATAAACCAGGATGTGAACGTGATCGCTACAGGATCAGGAGAAGCAACCGTGAAAGTAAACCATTTCTTTCAACTTTTTTCTGAATCTTGCATAAATCTAAACATGTTGTTGACTGAACAATTAATTCTCCAACATCTCATTATCAGTGTTTTTTTAACCAATTAAAAATAAATCTGACATGTCACCAAATTTCCCTTTTAGACACTCAACCAGTACAAGTTTTAAAGTTAAAGTCCTTTCGGATGTTACACACTGGTGAAATCACATCTTCGCATTTGACCCATCCCATCGGGGAGTGGTGAACTGCAGACATGTCCACACGTGGGAACTATTTGGTGGTTTTAACCCCCAATCCAACTGCATAATGCTAAGTGTCAAGTGAGGATGCACTAGGTGCCATGTTTTTAAAGTCTTTGGTATGACCCGACTGTGGATTTGAACCCACGATCTCACAGTCTGAGCAGGCACTCATACCACTATGTCCCTGAGAAGGTCAAAGGGCATTATGCAAGTATTTTTCTAGGGAATAATCCTAAAACAGTCTCATTTATGTTGAAAGGAAGGTGACAAGGTTACATGGAAAAAGATTTCCTTCTCAGGTGGCTGGGGGTTGTCAATTTTCCTCCTTTCAAAATGGTCACAAAGAGACATGTTTATGTTTATGTATTTAGCAGACGCTTTTGTCCAAAGCGACTTACAAATGATAATCGGCATATTGCCCTTGAGGCTAACAACAACAATAACAACAACAACATTGACATCAGGGTAGGAGGGATCGGGAGATCGACAGGCGGATTGGTTCGGCGTCTGCAGTGATGCGGACGCTGAGCCGATCTGTCGTGGTGAAGAGGGAGCTGAGCCAGAAAGCCAGGCTCTCGATTTACCGGTCGATCTACGTCCCAATCCTCGCCTATGGTCATGAGCTTTGGGTAATGACCGAAAGAACGAGATCGTGAATACAAGCGGCCGAAATGAGTTTCCTCCGTAGGGTGGCCGGGCTCAGCCTTAGAGATGGGGTGAGGAGCTCGGACATTCGGGAGGGACTCGGAGTAGAACCGCTGCTCCTCCGGCTCGAAAGGAGTCATTTGAGGTGGTTTGGGCATCTGGTCAGGATGCTTCCTGGACGCCTCCCTGGGGAGATGTTTCAGGCATGTCCTGCCGGCAGGAGGCCCCCGGGTCGACCCAGGACACGTTGGAGAGGTTACATCTCCAATCTGGTCCGGGAACGCCTTGGGGTCCTGCCGGAGGAGCTGGTGGAGGTGGCCGGGGAGAGGACGGTCTGGAGCTCCCTAGTTGGGATGTTGCCCCTGCGACCCGGACCCGGACCTGGATAAGCGGAGGAAGACGACGATGACGATTTAGAGGAATGAAGATTCTGAGATTTTTTTCTGTGATATTTTTTGCCATATTTCTCCACTTCAAATATTAACGGCAACCAATTAATTAAAATGTTTGCATTGTTGCACTGAAAACCCTTTTTTGAAGCTGCGCCTTTGAATCTAGAAACAGGTGCTGTGGGAATAAAATGAAGCTGATAAAGAATATTTTTTTAGGTTTTTAGATTTTATTTCCTGAAAAGGCTTAAATGAAACTCAACTTTGATAATCGTTTAAATCCCATTTTTATTTTTGTGGTAGATTGTGTCGTTGTATTATGCCCTCCCTAAAGAGAAGGAAAGTGACTGCCAGCAGTTTAATATGTCAGTGGATCTGATCCCAGGTAATCTGTTTTTTATTTATTTATTTTTTTTTTTTTTTTTTTTTTTTTTTTTGCCGTTGCTCATCGTCTCCTTTACAGTTTTGCCTTTGATGATCTCATGGTTTTCCTTTTTGTTCTTCCAGAGAAAATAACCGATGATGAAAGGACATACCGGCTGAGAATAGAGTTTTTGTAAGTACATCTATAATATGTTATGAAATGTGTAAAAACAGTAACTGGATGCAACCAAAATGTTCTGTACTTTTTCTATAAAGGTATTTGAACAAAGAGCGTGATGCCACCATGTCAATTCTGGACATTGGCCTGCTTACTGGTTTCACAGTTGACAATGATGACCTGAACTTGGTAAGCGAAACCAACATTTAAAAAGTATTAACATGCAGTTTTAATAACTAATATTTGAACCAACTGGGTGTTAAAAACATGCCTGATGACTTTTTTACGTAGTTGTCTAAAGGACCTGCCCGTGTCATAGATAGATATGAAATGGACTCAGTTTTGTCAGAGAGAGGCTCCCTCATCATCTACCTGAACAAGGTAAGACATTCTTCCTCCTGCTGCTGATGAATGCTTATTTATGTTTATCATACTTTTAATGTTTTCTTCTCTCCACAGGTTTCTCACACACAACCAGAGGAGATTACTTTTAGAATTACTCAGCCAGCAAAAGTGGGCATCTTACAGCCAGCCGCAGTTTCTATTTATGAGTACTATGACAGTAAGTTTTAAAGCCTAATGCTGCCTTTGTTGGGCATTTTTGTAAATTGCTGCATTATATTTAACTTACTTTACAGAGTAAATATCGGATATTAGAAGATGTCTCCTATTTATATAATATAACTGTAGATGCTTCTCTATATGCAAAATATTATTTCCAACTAAGGGGCAAATTCGTCCTGCCATAAGTGAAGCCAGCATTGAAGTGACAAAAATTGCAGTTCCACCCTCATCCACTAGGGGATATAGCCAGAAAGGAAAAAATTCCCATTTGCAGTTTTTACAAAACAATGCCACCAATTTCCCGCAAAGCTGAGCTGGCATCTGGGAGCCTTGGGTTGATAACAAATGGTCAGACTGTGGCGGTAACGTGGCACAATTGTGTCTATTTTTACATAAGATTACGATGGTGATAAAAAGGGGAAACGGGCCTGTCTCTGCACTGTCACAGACTTCCTTTGAACTTGGATGTAACTTCCCTTTCATTGCGTTTGAAGCATCACTTCTCAAGTTTTTTGACAAGCCCCTCCTAAAGGTGTCTGTCTTCCACAGTCCCAGTGAACTGTCAGAAGATCTAAGCTCCGTCTAATGGGCTCGACACACGGGAGGCGACATCGCCTCTCCTCCACTCATTTTCAATGAGACACGCGCAACAAAGCGATAATCGCAGGTCTCCCTCCTACCAAGCGAAACGCGAAAAACGTGCGTGTGAAATTTTGCACTCATGCACGTGTCGTGCACAGGCGACCCAGCGACGCGATCCCAGAAAGTTGAAACATTTTCAACTTTTCATCGCTGTCGCTCGGACAAGGACCAATCAACGGAGGTTTCATTCACTGACCAATGAGCGGACAGGATGCTCCGTACACCTCCGAGCAAACATGAAGCAGAAGTTGATTATTATTATGTTTTATATAATAAAATCAGAAGTAAGATTTCACATAACTCTAGCAGCACCTTGTGAAACATCATATCTACCACTTTTTAAACTCTGAACCGCTTAAATAACCTGACACAGCCAAACAAAACAACGGAAGTTTTGATTTCACCATGGAACAGAACGCGTAGACGGCTTTGCCGCTGCCCGCTGCCGCGGATCGCCTCCCGTGTGTCAGCTAATAAAAGCGACGGCGACAAATTTCGCTGATCGCGGTTGTTTGTCGCCTCCCGTGTGTCGAGCCCATAATAGAGTAAAGCTCCTGGAGCACTGCATCACTTTCTGGTTCTGCTGGAACTGGCAGTAGCCTTTCACACTGTTGACCATTACCTGCCACTGGATAGGCTGAGAGACTGGACAGGCCTATCAGAATCTGCTCTGAAGTGGTTCTCCTCTTATCTGTCCGTGCATTCCTTCTGTGTGGCCGTCTCAAGTTTTGTTTCTTCTCCATCTACCTCGCTTATGTTGTCCCTCAAGGTTCTGCTGTTCCTCCTTTTTCTGCTCTTTCTCCAGCCGCCCTGAACTCTGTACATCTCCTTTAAGCCCCATGAGATGTCTAAGCTGCAGCTGTTACACACCTGCTAAGACTCTATCAAAACCTGGATGGAGGGAGCTTTCTACAGCTGAATGAAGATAAGACTGAGATCCTCATCTGTGCCCCAGACAAGCTGGTTCCCAAAGTCAGAGACTCTCTTGGTCAGCTTGATTCTCACACCAAACCATCTGTTAAGAATCTTGGTATGACCTTTGACCCAGCTCTCACCCAGGATTCTCATGTCAGCTCTCCTGTCACTCTCAATATAACTGCTTCCTCGTAGAAATGATCAATGACTCCTGTGTTAAAAAATGGCAATTTCACAGCAGAAATAAACATGTTTACAACCTGGTTTAAAAAAAACATTCTAGGTTTAATAGGTCTAGTTTACTGTCATGACAACTTACGACTACTTCGGCACATGTATTTGATTGACAGGTAGCACATGAGCCATCTGTGCTAGTTCTTGCAACTTGCCCCTCTGGTTGATCCGGGGAGTGCATCGGCCTCACGTTAAAAGTGTTAAAAGTGCTTGCAGAACTCTGTTAGCTTCGGTTTTCTCAGTTAGCTTGTAGCTACATCGGCTCAGAGTTGACTATGGGTGTCAACCATCTGCCCCCACACTCACAGCTCCACTCTCCACTGGGCTTCAATTCAGCTCTTCAAAAACCTACGGGTGATGGCATAGAGGGTTTGTCCATCTCACATGTGAAGCCATTGTATCCAAAAACTCATGTTTTCTATTTCAGGAACACGTTGTGTGAAATTCTACCATCCACAGAGGAGGGCGGGCCAACTGCTACGACTGTGTAAAGAAAATGAATGCACCTGTGCAGAAGGTAAACGGGATTACTTTGTTCTGCAATCCCAAACATTAAATACCTTAAATTCCCCTTGCTGCAGCTTTCATTTGTGAATAATTTGTTTTTACATTTTAACTCCTTACTCACATCTTATTTTATCTAAAACACTTTTAGAAAACTGCAGTATGCAGAAGAAAGGCGACATCAGCAACGATGAGCGATTAGCAAAGATCTGCGAGAGCACAGAGACCAGCAAAATTGAATATGGTAGGAAACCATTTTGATTTGTACCTAAAGATATTAGCATTATTGTTTGGGGAAAGGTAGGAAACTCATATCTATCCACTCTCTGCCTGCAGCATACAAAGTTTCTGTGGAAAACGTCGACTTTGACCTGTCTGCAGACTCTTACACAGCGCGAGTAATCGAGGTCATCAAGGAAGGTGGGTAGCGAGCTCCTCAAATATTCTTCATCCTATATTTAAATGATAAATGACCCGCACTTGTATAGCGCCTCTCAGAGTAAGGACTCCAAAGCGCTTTACACTACAGTCTATCATTCATCCATTCACACACTCATTCACACACTGATAGTGATGAGCTACGATGTAGCCACAGCTGCCCTGGGGCGCACAGACAGAGGTGAGGCTGCCGAGCACAGGCGCCACCGGTCCCTCCGACCACCACTAGCAGGCAAGGTGGGTTAAGTGTCTTGCCCAAGGACACAACAGCAGAATTCTCTGTCCGGAGCCGGGATCGAACCTGCAACCTTCCGATTACTGGACTACCCGCTACCTATGCATCAGTAGAAACACTGACATCAGTAGTTTATTGGCATTCTGCATCACCTCACAGGATTTGTAAAATTAGTCTTTGGATCTGGAGTTGGATGTTTTACAGACTTGTGTAATTTTTATTCTAAATAAATTACCGGTGAGACAGTTACTTACGCTATCTGGCAATTTTTTTATTTATTTTTTTTATTTCCGTGTCCTGTCTGGCTGTGAAACAAACCAAATTAATGTCTGAGTGCTGGTGACAAGCCTTACAGGTTTAATTTAAGGTACACAACAATACAACAAGAGCAAACTATCACTGCGTCAACCTGATGAGGAAATATGAAATCAAAATTATTTTACTGAACAATCACGATAATAAATCACAGTGCATTTAGTGCCCACCACAGCCTTAAGACATGTGTTGAACATGCCCAAGTCCATACTTATGAGAGCACCATGTGAGCACCTGTGTGTGTGTGTACACACGCTTGTTTATGTAAGGTTTCTCTATAGGAGTGTCCAATAGAGAGTGTGAGGGGTCACAGATCTGCCCCCCAAAGATGTGTAGGAGATGGAGGGAGCTCCAAGTCCCAGAGATCCAGGAGCTGCCCCAGAGCGCAGGGACCCCAGAGAGACTGTAACCAGAAAAGCCCCCGCCCCCCTCGAGAGGTGCAGAGGATTGCCCGGGGGGTCACAACCAGCAGCCGGCAGAGTCCCAGGAGATATAAGCGGCAAGCCCACAGGCCCACCCGCAGCCTCCCACCCCCAAACTGGCCGAGCCCGGAACCCAGCAACCCGGGACCCAGGGGCGACCAGCCCTGTCGGGGACCCAACAGAGTCCAGGGACCCAGATCCCACCAGGCAGCCACCGGGGTCGATCAGGCAGACGCCAAAAATCAAACACCTTCTGACCCGGGAGCTGCAAAGAGTCAGGCAGACCAAGGCAACACACTCCACACCAAATGTGGCAGGGGGAGGGTAGGTGAAGATGTGTAGTAGCACAAGAAGTCCGAGAAGAGGGGAGGAGTCTAAGACCCCACTTGCCATATACAGTCATACACAGACACAGTCACACACTCCCTCCTTCATGCTCACACATACACATACAACCTAAGACTTACAAAAATGTATGCTAGACACCCACTCATGCTCCCCACATACACCCTATTCACTCTGGTCCTGGAACTGCTGCACAGTGGGTACAACCATTACCGGTTCCTAGAGTTTGCCCCTTTCTGCTGGGATGATGATGAGCAGGCACCCCCGCCCAACGCTGAGCAAAGCATCCCACCACCCCAGACCCCAACCAGACAGCCAGATCCCCCTCCTAGCCTCCAGCCCCGGGAAGCCAAGAGGCAGTGTCTGGTCCACGCCAGCTGATGCAACCACACAACCCCACTTCCCCCCACCGCCCTCTGTGTCTAAGTGCAGTTTAAAATTGGAAGTGGGCACCGGCTCTTGGGAGGAGGCTGAAAGATCCCCTTGCCAAATGCCGTTGAGTGTGCTCACTCCCGAGGCCCGTAAGTGTGTGTTTGCATGGAATGTCATTGGTGGAAGTGTTTAATGTGCAAATAAAATTGGGGGGAATTGTGAATCTGGAGGCACCAGTAGATGGCATCACTTAATCCTCTGCACAGTGACCACCTGAGTACTGGTGCAAGCACACAGTCACTGTTGCTTTTCATGTTTAATCAGGGGTTGAGTTGTGGAAACCATTTCAGAACAAAGCAGTTGTGTAGCGCCAACAGAAGTCGTGTTGTTTAAATCCATGAGCTAAACTCTGATTTTAAGGTGCTTGAGGGTACCCACCTGATCCTAGCTCCTCCTCCATCACCTGACTGATGGAAGGAGAGGTGGGTGTCACTCTGTGGGTTTCATAACATCAGAACACTAGTACATGCAATAATTTTTAAATGTTACATGTTTCATGCTTACAAACCGATGAAGAACTCTTTTCTTTTGCTTCTGCACTTTTACTAAAGGAACTACTGACGTTGGTTCTCTGGGGAAACTGCGAACATTCCTCGGTTATCAGCACTGCAGAGAAGCTTTACAGCTAAAACAGGGCCGTACATACCTGGTCATGGGCTCATCCAAAGATATTCACCGAGATGAACAAAATGAATCGTAAGTTTAGTTGAATTTGAATTCTGTCACTGTTACCCATCGCTTGCTGTAATAACATCTGGTCTGTCTCTTACAAGTTCTACCAAGCAGGTCGCATCGCTTTTTAATGTTTCTGTCATATTCGTCCTCAGGTTTCAGTATGTGCTTGGGGAGAGAACCTGGATCGAGTACTGGCCGACATCAGAAGAGTGCCAGTCTCATGAACACCGACCCTCCTGCTTGGGCTTGGAGGAGATGGTAGACCAGTACAACGACTTTCCCTGCCAGCAATAATCGAACCCAAGAGAACCGTTCATTTCAGATTATTTTTCTATTCTGAATTATATTTACAAAGCATTGGCTGTCACCATTTAACGACATGAAAATGACTAAATAAAGATTTAATGAATATTCAATGGTCATTTATTTTCTCTAAGTCCAAAATTTGACTGAGTTAATTTTATTTCAGCATTGTTTTAGACACATTTATCTCTTTAAAGGCATATTCTTAAATTAGTCTAAATAAAAAAGTTGTTCTAATTTTAAAAAATTTACATAACGCTGTTGCCTGCCACCTAGAGGCAAATCAACACCTCAGACGAAATTCAAGCGGAACCACCATCATACTGCCTATACTGTACAAGCCTGTGGGGGCAGTGCCATGATCTGGGGTTGCTGCAGTTGGTCAAGTCTAGGTTCAGTACCAGTACGTGCTCCAAGGATGAGGTCAAGGTTAGGGTCATCATCAACGCAAGATCACAGTGAAAATGTAACGCAAAACGGGATGGAAATAAATCTGGTGACACTGCTAATCGAAACAATGCCACAGCGAATATGTGTTGTAATCAAAGCTAAAGGCAGTCAAACAAAATATTAGTGTGGCCTTTTTTTTTTTGAGTCAGGCAGTGTATAATCTGGTCCTTCTTCTGGTACCCCAAAGCTGTTGACTCTTCTTGATACATTTGGTCAGATCTCAGGTTATAATAAAAACATTCAGAGGGAAATGGTGGAGAGACAGCTCACTGGCTCCATTACATTTAAAATGAGCTCAGATGAATGTAATTATTTAGATATTTGGATTACACGTACATTTAAAGACCTTATCGGATCTCATTATAGCCCTTTATTGGTTACTCTTAAAAGAGATATTTCCTGATGGCCCCTGTCCTTAGGAGGGAGGATAAACACTGTTAAAATGACTGTACCACATAAGTTCCTTTATTTGTTCCACGTCTCTCAATTTATTTATTTTTTCTAAATGTTTTTTATTTATTTATTTAGATAGATAGACTGCTTTGGGGCTTTACATGGCTTAATAGACACCAGAGAACCAGTAAAAAGATGTTACCCCGTGACATGGTGCTTCCTAATTTTACAGCATGTATGACTACTAGGCTTCTGATACAAACGCATTGTTCTGGCTAAGGGGGGGTGTTGATGTGCAGAGTTGGGTGACTGTGCAGAGAACCTTGTTTGCTGCTAGCTCTCCTAAAGCGATACTCTGCTCTCCATTACCCTTTTTGCGACTAATATCTTTGTACTCGGCTAATGCCATTAAACGATTAAGATCTGCAATCAGTGTAGATGATCTTTTGGTCTCATCGAATTGTCGTTCGCTGCCCCTGTGAAGAAGAACCACATTTTTTATTACATTTGAGTCGGACGAGGTCTTTAATGGAAGGGCTTCTAACGGCATACACTCTCTCCATGACCTGTATGTTGATGGTGCTTCCTACTTTGAAAAACTGTTGGCTATTAGAGGTGGGAAAAATGATCGATTCTAAGATGCATCGCGATTCAGCCGTGCATGATTCTGCATCGATGCAGCAACGTGACATAATGAGATTTTCTCCCTATGTCTATGTTCTGGACGTGCGAGGACAATAAAGTTTTGAGGTTTTACAATTACTTCTGGGGGCAGAGTTGCACTGACATGCGCACTGCGTTGCCCTAGCGCCAATTTTAAACAGAAATGGCGGACAGGGATACAGGACGAACATTACCAGTAATCAAAGATGCACCCGTTACATTTAAATCGGATGTCTGGGCTAATTTCGGTTTTGGGATCCTGGATGTGAAAGAATCACTTAGCACAGCATTTGTTTACTATTTTTAAGTTCAGTAATATTCTATCTTAAAGCTGCTCTACCGAAAACATTATTTCTTATATTATTTAAGTAATTATAGGCAGCACACTTTAAAAATTATTGCTCACTATAGTGAATAGATGAATGTTCTGTTTTTCAGGGATATCGAAATAAAGAAATTGAAAACTATTCTACTGCTTTTATTAAGTAATGAAAATTTTTGTGTGAAGAATCGTGATGCATTTCAGACTCAAATCGAATCTTTAGGCAGATAATCGGAATCGGATCGGATCGTGAGGCAGGTAGAGATGCACACCACTATTAGCTATATGTCTTATTCACAAATTACAGCTCTTTAGATGTCTACAACCGAGACACTTTTTATTCTTCTACGTTAAATTTTAGACTATTGGACATTACCAAGAAAGTTCTGAGTAACCTGTACACCTGGTTCAGCTCACACTCTTGGACCAGTCTGGACAGAAATAGGAGCTGGACCTGGGTGTTAGATTGTCAGAGAAGGTCTGGCACAAGATTCATGAATCCTCAGTCTGTGTAAGACATTGTGTCATCCTTCAAAGTGGTGCACATCTGCATTGGTCCAGAGACAAACTAGCTAAAAGAAAACTGATCTTGGACCCGAAGCTTCACATGTCTTGGACTTGCCAAAAACAGCAGGGGTACTGGGAGCTTGTCTCCAAGATTTGTGGGGCCACTCCTGATCCTCTGACCGCTTTATTTGGAGATTTGGAGTAGTCACTGTGAATGATTCTTTTGACACTCACTATCTGCAAATGATAGTCTTTTACCATCTGATGGCCAGAAGAATGATTCTTTCCAAATGGAAGGATTCACACCCGCCCGCATACGGTCACTGGAAGGCAGAGATGGCGCTCCATGCACATTTGGAAAAACATCAGATGCACTTTGGGGGGCTCATTGGACTATTTCAATTCTGTGTGGTCGTCTTTATGTTTTATTTTGATTGTGGTGTGTCTGTGGATACGTTTTTATAGTTTTTTTATGATTGTTTATTTCTTTTATTTCTTCTGTGTAATCATTTGATTTTTTTCTGTTTAATAATGTTTAACAATGTTGCCAAAAAGTATTTAAAAGACCTTGTTTAACCCTCTCAGGCTCAAAATATGTTTTGATAAAAGGACAAACAACTAAGTCCTTCAGGAGTACTTCTGGGTACAAAAAATGCTCATGAAATACATATGTGGAGTAACCAGGTAGGTAGGTTTTAACGTTGCAAATCTGCAACGCCTGCCTCCAGAAGGTTAAAAGAAAATCTTGCCATTAACTTTTGTTTTTTCATGAGTCTGTGAGTCATCTAAAAGCAATATCGATTTCTGACTGTTTGCTTTTTGTCAGAGAAGATAATCGGGACAATTTCTCAACTGCTGCTGGGAATTCATGTATGCTTATGTTTATCTGTCTGCAGCATGTGGAAACTGAGCAAATGAGGCCATGATGAGGAAACATGGCAGGGGGCAGTGGAAGACCCTCGAGTCACTCTGACAGCAGGTCAGGACTCGGTTGGAGGATGAGGAGAACCAATCTGCTGTTGCTGGCCTCTCTGGCCTTTGCTTCTCTGATGTCTCCACTGTGAGAAGACCTATCGGTGTTATGTTTGTGGTAACAAAGTCTAATGACACCCCCAACCATTGATCAGCCATTTTTGCCCCTCCCACTTTTGAAATTAAAAAGACTTCATGGCATTGACGTAAAATAGAACTCAGAAGCTTTTTTGTTGCGGTTTCATGTTTCACATTTCTAGAAGTGAGCCCGTAGATTTGTCGACAACACTTTCATGCTCTCTTAAACACTTGATAAGAATCTCTGTACGGATGTTAGTTGCAAAACTTAATTTTACCTTAGAATAATCTAAGAAGCAGCTGATGCCCATGTTGCCTAATGTGTTGCGTAACTGAGGCATTTCTAAGGTAATGAGGTGCACCAGATCCAGCAAAGTCTAAAAGTCAAAGAGAAAGTTCAATTGATCTACAGCTGGATTTGAATCAAGATCATCAATGGTTAACTCACTCTGTGCTAAGTCCTCAAAAAAACATTAGCAAAAACGATCTTAAAAAATTAAGTTAACAGCAAACAGACGTTAGGCAATGTTTTTGGTTTGAAGGTCAAAAACTTCAACATTAACTGATCAGAGCAGAGAATAAAAAAGGAAAAGAAAATATGGGGCAAAAGTCTCTGTTTTCTTCATTTTGATGAGACAACCAGTTTTCCCATTTACAAATAGGAAGAGCTCCTCCTTGAACCGTCACCTTATCGTGGTGGAGGAGTTTGAGTGCCCTAATGATCCTAGGAGCTATGTTGTCTGGGGCACTTAGTGCCCCTGGTAGGGTCTCCCATGACAAATTGGTCTTAGGTGAAGGGTGAGACAGAGAACGGTTCGAAGGATCTTTCATGGCGGTTAAAACGAAGAGTCGGAGTACCCGGCCCGGAGGGTTACTGGGGTCCCACCCTGGAGCCAGGCCTGGGGTTGGGGCCCGTGAGCGAGCGCCTGGTGGCCGGGCTTTCGCCCATGGGGCCCGGCCGGGCCCAGCCCGAACCGGATACATGGGCTCGTCCAACTGTGGACCCACCACCCGCAGGAGGAACATGAAGGGTCCGGTGCAATGCGAATCGGGTGGCAGACCAAGGCGGGAGCCTTGGCGGTCCAATCCCCGGACAAGAAAACTAGTTTTTGGGACATAGAACGTCACCTCGCTGGCGGGGAAGGAGCCGGAGCTTGTGGCAGAGGTTGAGCGGTACCGGCTAGATATAGTCGGACTCACCTCGACACATTGCATTGGCTCTGGAACCCGAGACCTGGAGAGGGGTTGGACACGCTACTTTGCTGGAGTTGCTCCGGGTGAGAGGCGGAGGGCTGGGGTTGGCTTTTTGTTAGCCCCGAGACTCTCTGCCTGTGTGTTGGGGTTTACCCCGGGGGACAAGAGGGTAGCTTCCTTGCGCCTTCGGGTCGGGGAACGGGTCCTGACTGTTGTTTGTGCTTATGGACCAAATATCAGTTCAGAGTACCCACCCTTTTTGGAGTCCCTGGGACGAGTGCTAGATAGTGCTCCATCAGGGGACTCCATTGTCCTGCTGGGGGACTTCAATGCTCACGTGGGCAATGACAGCTTGACCTGGAGGGGTGTGATTGGGAGGAACGGCCCACCTAATCTGAACTCGAGCGGTGTTTTGTTATTGGACTTCTGTGCAAGCCACAGTTTGGCCATAACGAACACCATGTTCAAACATAAGGATGCCCACCGGTACACTTGGTACCAGGGCAGCCTAGGTCACAGGTCGATGATAGATTTTGTAGTCGTATCATCTGACCTGCGGCCGTATGTTTTGGACACCCGAGTGAAGAGAGGGGCGGAGCTGTCAACTGATCACCACCTGGTGGTGAGTTGGATCAGATGGCAAGGGAACATGCCGCGTAGACCTGGCAGACCCAAACGCATAGTGAGGGTCTGCTGGGAACGCCTGGCAGAAGAACCTGTCAAGACGGTCTTCAACTCCCACCTCCGGCAGAGCTTTGACCACGTCCCGAGAGCAGTGGGGACATTGAGTCCGAGTGGGCCTTGTTCCACTCTGCGATTGTCGAGGCGGCTGTTGCTAGCTGTGGTCGTAAGGTGGCCGGTGCCAGGGGCGGATTTAGGACTGAAGAAGATCCGGGGCTTAACACACACGCGCGCGCACACACGCGCGCGCACGCGCACACACACGCATGCGCGCACACACGTGACACGCACTAGTCAACATCATATATATATATATCTTGTACCACATAATGTTTAATCTGAAGCTACATATTCAGCATATTCAGGGCAGAGTATTGTTCCTGTTAGTGTTTAGTGTGAGATGATAGTGAATATTCCCTTTCTTTCTCCAACAACTTTACCTGATAGTAAGCTAACTTTAGGCAAACCAGCAGCACAACAAATATTTTCAAATAAGACTCACAAACCTGAGTCAACACCAGTCTCATCAGAGCTGGGGTTCTGTCGTTGTACTTTTGGTCTAAAAAAACGTCCTTATATCCATCTTCACTCATGCGTTTCAGACAGACTGCAGAAGCCAGCTGCTGAAGGGCTTCTCTTCAGTCTCAGGTCAACTGTATACTGACTAAGTAGCCTAGTGGTAGAGTGTCTGCCCTGAGATCGGGAGATCAGGGGTTCGACTCCTGGTCGGGTCATATCAAAGATTTTGAGAAAAATGGGACCCAATGCCTCCCTGCTTGACACTCAGCATTGGATTGGGGTTGGATTGGGGGGTTAAACCACCAAATAGTTCCCGGGCGTGTCTGCAACTCAGGGGATGGGTCAAAATCGGAGAATAAATTTCACCACACACCTGTGTGTGTGACGACTAAATGGGACTTTACAAACTACTGCCAGCTGCGCCCTCTCTGTGTGACTTTGGTACTGCATGTTACTTCCGCGATTTAGATCCGGGGCTTATCATGAAAGATCCGGGGCTTCAGCCCAAGTAGCCGGGCCTAACGCCGCCCCTGGCCGGTGCCAGTCGTGGTGGCAACCCCCGTACCCGCTGATGGACACCAGAGGTTCGGGGAGCCATCAGGCTGAAGAAGGAGGCCTACAGGGCGTGGCTGGTCTGTGGGTCTCCGGAGGCAGCAGACAGGTACCGGATAGCCAAGCGGGGTGCAGCAGTGGCAGTTGCCGAGGCAAAATCTCGGGCGTGGGAGGAGTTTGGTGAGGCCTTGGAGAAAGACTATCGATCGGCTCCAAAGAGGTTCTGGCAAACTGTCCGGTGCCTCAGGAGAGGAAGGCAGCAACTCGCTCACACTGTTTACAGTGGGGATGGGGAGCTGCTGACGTCAACTGAGGCTATAGTCGGACGGTGGAAGGAATACTTTGAGGAGCTCCTCAATCCCACCAATGCGCATTCCGAGGAGGAACCAGAGCTGGGAGGCCTGGGGATGGACTGTCCGATCTCGGGGGCAGAAGTTGTTGAGGTAGTCAAACAACTACACAGCGGCGGAGCCCCGGGGGCGGATGAGGTTCGTCCTGGGTATCTCAAGGCTATGGATGTTGTAGGGCTGTCATGGTTGACACGTCGCTACAACATTGCGTGGTCATCGGGGGCAGTTCCTAGGGAGTGGCAGACCGGGGTGGTGGTCCCCATCTTTAAGAAGGGTGACCTGAGGGTGTGTTCCAACTATAGGGGGATCACACTCCTCAGCCTCCCTGGAAAGGTCTACTCCAAGGTACTGGAGAGGAGGGTCCGATCGATAGTTGAATCTCAGATAGAGGAGGAGCAATGTGGTTTTCGTCCTGGCCGTGGAACTGTGGACCAGCTCTATAACCTTGCAAGGGTGATGGAGGGGGCATGGGAGTTTGCCCAACCAATCCACATGTGCTTTGTGGATTTGGAGAAGGCTTATGACCGTGTCCCCAGGGGCACCCTGTGGGGGACGCTCCAGGAGTATGGGGTGGGTGGCTTTCTGTTAAGGGCCATTCAGTCCCTTTACCAGAGGAGCGTGAGTTTGGTCCGCATAGCCGGTAGTAAGTCGGACCTGTTCCCAGTGAGGGTTGGACTCCGCCAGGGCTGCCCTTTGTCACCGGTTCTGTTCATCACTTTTATGGACAGAATTTCTAGACGCAGCCATGGTGTGGAGTGTGTCGAGTTTGGTGGCAGGAGAATCTCGTCTCTGCTTTTTGCGGATGATGTGGTCCTCCTAGCTTCATCCAGCTCTGACCTTCAGCTCTTGCTGGGTAGGTTCGCGGCCGAATTTGAAGCGGCTGGGATGAGGATCAGCACCTCCAAATCTGAGACCATGGTTCTCGACCGGAAAAGGGTGGCTTGCCACCTCCGGGTCGGGGGAGAGGTCCTACCTCAAGTGGAGGAGTTTAAGTATCTCGGGGTCTTGTTCACGAGTGAGGGTAGGAGGGATCGGGAGATCGACAGGCGGATTGGTTCGGCGTCTGCAGTGATGCGGACACTGAGCCGATCTGTCGTGGGGAAGAGGGAGCTGAGCCAGAAAGCCAGGCTCTCGATTTACCGGTCGATCTACGTCCCAATCCTCACCTATGGTCATGAGCTTTGGGTAATGACCGAAAGAACGAGATCGCGGATACAAGCAGCCGAAATGAGTTTCCTCCGTAGGGTGGCCGGGCTCAGCCTTAGAGATAGGGTGAGGAGCTCGGACATTCGGGAGGGACTCGGAGTAGAACCGCTGCTCCTCCGGATCGAAAGGAGCCAGTTGAGGTGGTTTGGGCATCTGGTCAGGATGCCTCCTGGACGCCTCCCCGGGGAGGTGTTTCGGGCATGTCCTGCCGGCAGAAGGCCCCCGGGTCGACCCAGGACACGTTGGAGAGGTTACATCTCCAATATGGTCCGGGAACGCCTTGGGGTCCTGCCGGAGGAGCTGGTGGACAAGGCCGGGGAGAGGACGGGCTGGAGCTCCCTAATTGGGATGCTGCCCCCGCGACCCGGACCCGGATAAGCGGAGGAAGACGAAGACGAAGCAAAGATGCACAGAAAAGAAGACCAGACACCAGCGAGGGAGGATAAGAAAGACAGACGCAACAACCTTGTCATCCCCTATGTAGTTGGTGTATCAGAGAAACTCAGGAAAGTTTTCTCCAAACACAACATACCAGTGTACGTCAGGCCCAGCAACACGCTCAGACAGAAACTGGTTCACCCGAAAGACAAAACTCCTAAACACAAAATGAACAATGTGGTGTATGCTGTACAGTGCAGCGAGGAATGCCCAGACCTCTACATCGGAGAAACCAAACAGCCACTTCACAAGCGCATGGCACAACATAGAAGAGCCACCTCCACGGGACAGGACTCAGCAGTTCATTTGCATCTAAAGGACAAAGGTCACTCTTTCGAGGATGCCAACGTTCACATTTTGGACAGAGAGGATAGGTGGTTTGAAAGAGGAGTAAAGGAAGCCATTTATGTCCACTGTGAGCAACCATCTTTGAACAGAGGTGGTGGTGTACAACACCAACTGTCTGCCATCTATAATCCAGTTTTGAGATCCCTTCCCAGATGCCTCAACGCCCACGCATATCCTGGGCCATCTGACCTCAGGAATTCACATGATAGGGTGGGGCCAGGCTTCACAATGTGCTCACCCAAAACTCTGGCTGAATAGGACCCACACCCACCCTCACACCTTGGCTCATGTGTTTATGTAGAAGATCATCAGGGGGTCTTCTGTTCCCTCTTCGGGGGGAAACTCCCACTGGGTTTAAATCTGGGACTCTCCACCATTTGACCTTAGAACTGAAGAAGCCTCTCGGATGAGAGGTGAAATGTCTTCAAGCAACTCAAAGAAGTCCAGACGCTTTTCTTTCAAAGCTCATTAGACTCAACAGTAATGTGTACCCTATACAAAATAGAACAGCCACAGACAAAAGAATCATGACACGTCTCACTTTCATGTTAATATTGTTTTATTTGATGCACTCCACTTTGAACTGCACCAATCCAGCAACTGCTGCATTTTAATAACTAGTTTTAAAGGTGAATACACAAATATTTGCACAAGAGTATTTTTTGTTTTAAACTACACACTTGCCAGGGGGGATTTGGCATTTAATTTTTCTTGGCGTCTGGAAAAACATCTCCTTTCGCCCCCCTTTCTTTATTTGACTTTCTGCCCCCTTTATTCTGGTCCAAGATCATTACTGGGCTGGCCCTATTAAACACGTTCTACACCCCTGCTTAGTAGACTTAATGAAGTGTGTTTAAGCCAGTATAAAAATGACTGAAACACAAATTTACATATTTGGCATTGTTGACCAATATCTTTGATTTTATTTATTTGTTAAGAACATCAAGATGCATTACAGTGAACATTATAATAAAGTACAGTTTTCTAGTGCAGAGAGGAGACAACCCATAGAAGCACTGATTTGATCTCATTTCAGAGAAAAATACAACAGGTCAGATACACCTAATAAATAAAATTACTAACATAAACTCAGGAATCTGTTTCTTTGCTTCATTGTTCTGGTGCTGAAAATATCACTAATGCGGATCAAAGGAGATACACAGATGAATGCACCTCTTATTTATTATTTGGAAATTAGTAGGTGTGGTCTACGTCAATGCATTATTTTAAATCTGAATTGTGTGTGTGTGTGTGTGTGTGTGTGTGTGTGTGTGTGTGTGTGTGTGTGTGTGTGAGTGTGTGAGTGAGAGAGAGAGAGAGAGAGAGAGAGAGAGAGAGAGAGAGCATGCACGAGCCGTTTTCAGCTCTGTCTTGTCAAATGCACCACGTACATTACGAAATAAGTAACTTTAAATACTGAACTGAAAAAGAGGCGAACTGAAGAAAACCTAGGGAGTTCTAAAGAAACGTGAGCGACAGTGAAGCAAGCACAGAGAGTCGGACCGGGGTCGGACGGACTGAGCTCCCGGCTGCAGAGTTTTGTGTGCAGGGAGGGGCGGGCGCTCTACGTGAGTGGCCAATCACCGAGCGTGAAGACAGTCACAGCCAATAAGGATTTTCCTTCAGCACGATTACAGATATTTACGAGTTTTACTCATTTCATGCTCGTATTCGTCAAAAATGCTTTATCCCTAGCTGTAACCACCCTGCCCTGCCTCCTCCTCCTTGCTGCCTGTGATCACAAGCAACAACAGAGTAGTTCCCGCTGCTTCTTCAGGAAACGGCGCAAAAAAATAAAAATAAAAAATCAATAAAACTTGGGATCTTGTAGGCATGGCGCTGGGATTTCAGCCGTGGCGGGCCGCCACGGCTACGCCTATGTAAGGGAAACACTGTTTTCCCTCCACGGCTTTTATCACAAACACTCCCAAGTCTTTGGTCCAACAAGAATTCCCTCTAGCTAATTAGAGGAGTCCCTGCTGATCTCCACCCTAGACTCCATGGGGCGTAGAGGTGGGTCGATTAAGCACAAATGGACCAGCGGAAAGGAGAGCCCATCTCTCCAAATCCCTGGGGTGCTCCAGAGATGGTAGGATTTCCACCAACGCTAACCTCCATAACCCCAACACTAGAAAAACAAAAACCAGAATGCATCCTAAAGAGGGTGCGCTCCTACAGCCTATAGGGAATTCACTCTGTTCACTTTAAAATTTCACAAGCACAACAGAACAAAACAAATAGGACTCACAAACAACACCTGAGAGGACACAGCTGGCCACACATCTTAAAATCCTTTAAATAAAACCTATTTGCAAAAAGCACATGCCATTAAAAGTCCTTCATGGGATGGTTGAAGATCCCGGACGAGCCCCCATTGTTACACATCCTCTATTGTTGGAAAAGGAGGACAGGGCAGAGGCATGTGTTTCAGGTGTTAAAATTGTAAACAATGATTTTATTTTAGAATTTTAAAAGACAAAAAGCTCCAAATCTAGAAGTACTTCAAACACATTGTTAAAATGGCCATGGGTTTATGTTTAAAACAGGCATCCGAATGCTCCCAAACATTCACACACAAAGTCCACTGACTATACACAAGTTTGGGAGATAAGAGGAAGCCAGCACTCAGGTCCCTCATCTGAAACTAAAACCCATTTAAAAGCCATTACAACACAAATAAATGGAGCCCACAAGATAACTGGGACAGATCCAGTCTCTCCCTTCCTCCTGGCAGCTCTCCTTTTTATGTTGCTCAGGAGTTGATCAGCCCAAGTGAGTGCAGCTGTACAGGTAGGAGGAGGAGGCAAAGCAAGAATTTGGTCTAGTTCACTAGGCTACTGATTGTCCTCTGCAGAGTCAGTTTTCTGGGACGAACAGCAACAGTTGTAACACTTGCGTTTAAATCTTTGTCCACAGAGCTTACATGCAAACTGTTTGTCTCCTGTGTGGACTCTCATGTGAGTGTTTAAACCTGACTTTTGGGTAAATCTTTGTCCACAGAGCCCACAGACATAAGGTTTATGTCCTGTGTGGACTCTCATGTGACAGTTTAAACCTAACTTTTGGGTAAATCTTTGTCCACAGTACTCACAGGCAAAAGGTTTATGTCCTGTGTGGATTCTCATGTGATCGTTTAAACCTGACTTATGTTTATATCTTTGTCCACAGAGCTCACAGGCAAACTGTTTCTCTCCTGTGTGGACTTTCATGTGAGTGTTTAAACCAGACTTTTGGGTAAATCTTTTTCCACAGAGCTCACAGGCAAAAGGTTTATGTCCTGTGTGGATTCTCATGTGATCGTTTAATGTTGACTTAAAGGTAAATCGATTTCCACAGAGCTCGCAAGCAAATTGTTTCTCTCCTGTGTGGACTGTCTGATGTCTGTTTAAACCTGACTTTTGGATAAATCTTTTTCCACAGAGCTCACAGGCAAAAGGTCTCTGTCCTGTGTGGATTTTCTGGTGTGTGTTAAAATTTGATTTTCTCCTAAATATTTTTCCACAGTCACCACAACTAAATGACGTTAGTTCTTTCTGGACATTCCTATTTGAGTCTACAGGTTGCTTAAGTCTAACCGATTTCTTATTAACCAAAGAGCTGGAAGACCTTATTGCTGAATGATTGGTCACTCTCACATGTTTCTGGAGAGACTGCTTGTCATGAAATCCTTCACCGCACTCAAAACAGCTAAAGAATATGATGACAGTCTTAACATCTGACCCAGAAGACATTTTCTCATTCCAGTCATGGTCTTCGTCTCCAGTTTCAGACCCAGAGTCCAGATTCATATCATCATCTCCACTAACTTCAGTCTCTGAAGAATCAGATGTCTGTTCATGAGGGTTCGGATCTGGGTTCTTGCTAGTTCCTGCTCCTCCACCAGTTTCTGCTGTCATCTGGTCAGATGAGCTGCTGGTTGGAACATCTCTGTCTTCTATTTGCTGCTGATGAAGCTGTGAAAACAGACGTTTCTCTTCATCATCCTCACTCTTTATAGAAACAGCACTGAATTGAAACCTAGCAGAATCAGTCTCCTCCTTCAAATGGAGATGCTCTTCCTTAAGACTGGTCAAAATTTCCTCCTTTTCTTCCTTTATGTGGAGGTGTTCTGGGTCCTGCTGGTCCACACCAGCACTCTGTTCTTCAGGATCTTCTTTAACCTGCACCATCTGTTGAACATCTGTAGGAAACAGAAACACATAACGTGAATTATCGACTGCTGTAACTTTAAATTCACACATGAGAGTTGCGTTATTGCAGGGGTCTCCAACATGTTGGTCGCGAGCTATCGGTAGCTCTTGAAAGTCGCTGGCCTGGAAGCAGCCAGTGAGCTGCCCAGCCTGACTTGTAATTAACAAGAGACGGATTTGTAATTTGATGGCAAGCCTCCCCTGCTTCTCGTAATATCTAATGTAAAATTAGCATTTTGTGGAAGTAAAATGAAATCTCATTGTAGCGCCCGGTCAGACAAAGATGAGCTTCACTGATGGTTTAGCTGTTCCCTTTTATTTCGTGCCTTTAAACTACTTCGACCAACATAAGAGCTGAATTAACACACATAAAAGAACATAACAACTTGTTAAACTGTGCTCCCAATGTCTACATTATGGGAGAATTAACCTGTTACACTTACAGGAATTACAAAGGAACCTTGTATGAAAACCATTTAATAAATATTTACCTTGTTCCTCCTTTCTGACAGGGACTAAACTTTAATCTTCTACCGTGTTTTAGCTTGCACTACGGTACCCATGCCGTTTTATTTCTTTTACAGTAATCATAAATGCCTTCAAAATGAAATACCTTCAGTTTAAGCAGAAGTTCCAAAATAAAGCACTTGCAAATGTAAGGGATTCCCTTTGAAATAAATGGATCAAATTTCACAGCCATTACACTCCCAACAAATTATGAGTTGTTTTTTTTTTTGTAAAATAAAACATAATTTGAACACACTTCTGAACATATACATATATATATATACATATACATATATATATATATATACATATATATATATATATATATATATATAAATATATATATATACATATATATATATATATACATATATATATATATAAATATATATATATACATATATATATATATATACATATATATATATATATATATAAATATATATATATACATATATATATATATACATATATATATATATATATATACATATATATATACATATATATATATATATACATATATATATATATATATATATATATACATATATACATATATATATATATATATATATATATATATACATATATATATACATATATATATATATATACATATATATATATATATATATATATATACATATATACATATATATATATATATATATATATACATATATATATATATATATATATATATATATATACATACATATATATACATATATATATATATATACATATATATATATATATATATATATATATATATATACATATATATATATATATATATATATATATACATATATATATATATATATATATATATATATATACATATATATACATATATATATATATACATATATATATATATATATATATATACATATATATACATATATATATATATACATATATATATATATATATATATATATATATATATATATATATTGCCACCCTGGAAAAATGTTTGCCCCTCTTCTGCCACCCCATAAATAATTTTGTAGATCCGCCCCTGCAATTGAGTTGTCTTTTACCATTAGTTTGATCATTTTACTAAACAAAGATAAAATTCACTCACTGCCTCCTCGTCTTGAAGTCCTGCCATCTTAAAATTAAAGTTAGTTCAATAGTTCAAAAGGTCTGGAGCTTCTCTCCTCTGTGAAGAAAGAACTAGAGAGGTTCGGACCGAGCTGCTGCAGCAGACTAAAAACCAACATGGACATTTTTTAATGATAACACCTCATGGAAGAGGTACTGTAATGTCCCACCATGCAGTGATAATAAAGTCCTTCACCCATCAGTACCTGTGTCCATGCTGTCCAGGTCCAGGTGGTGAAGAACACACGATGAATCAGTCCCAGGTCCCAGCTGACGGATGAAGTGGTAGCAGGTTTACTTTAGCCGTGTTTAGCTAACAGCTGCAATAGAAACAAAGCAGGAGAGCTGATTGATGCTGCTTCAGAACAACGCGGATATTAAAGAGACATTTAAAGGACGGATCCAGTCTGGAAAAGAGGACCTTTGGTCACCAGAGTTCACGGAGAAGAGCTAACCGATTTTTTCTCCAGAGTCACATTCAGATTCGGGGCTTTTCCGTCGGAGAGTGTGAGCAGGATGGATCAGAGAGCGAGCAGCGATCCTGCATCACGACCAACTCAGATGAGCGAGTCTGATAGAGGGGACCTCTTCAATCTGATGAAAGCAGCAAAACGAGCGCGTTTCTCTGAGAGGCCAAAGGAACAGCAGCAGATCCAGAGGGCAGGACGTCTAGAGAAAAGCTTTTCTGACCCACAACCTGATTCTGGAGCTCCGATTGTCACGAAGACCGCAGAATATCTTCTCTGGTTCTGGAAGGAACTCCACCAAGTTGTTGAGGAGGAGGAGAACGTTTCCACAGCCTGGTGAGAAGATTTCTGCAGCAGTTAGTCGCTTTAGCTGATCAACTCTCCCAGAGACTGACCTGAAGGCATTTTAACTGCAGAGCCTCAAATATTCTCCTCACACACCAAAACAACAACAAGCTAGCTTTGCTAGCAGCTTCCGGTTTCTGCTTTTTCCAGTGGTCGGTGACCAGCGTAAAGGTTCACTACCGCCACCTGCAGGACTCTATGAGCTCTGATAAGCTAAAGAAAAAACGAATAATGCATTTTCTACATGTAATCAATTGAATATAATACTATAATTATTATATAGCTATGCTAAAAATATTCAACATACTTAAGTAATACACTATTCTAACACAACAGTTGACCTTATTTTGTTTAATCTTTCTTAAACCAGACGAGTCGATTGAGACTCAATCTCATTTTCAACAGCAGCAGACTCATAGTTAGCTTTACACCAAAGACGTTTGCATTTTGGACAGAGAACACAAGTGGTCTGAGAGAAGTTTCTGGAAGCTTTAGAATAGAATAGACTTTCTTGATCCCGCGATGGGGGGATTAGCTTGTTACAGCAGCATCAACACTTAAGAGAATAATTTGAAGAAAAAAATTAACAAAGGTATGTGTATTAATACATGGGCAGTAGTCTAGAATTGGGACCTTTGTCCACTAAAAACCACAAATAAAAAAAGGAAAAAACTTGGGTTCCAACACTATGCAGCATAGTGCAAGAGACACGTACATACAATGCAAATCTGGTATTGAATGGGTATTGAACACATAATGAATATAGCATTGGTGTTATTATGTAACAGGATAATGCCAGTACCAGTTAAACTGAGGAGTTCTACACTCTTACTGCAGAGGGGACAAATGACCTACGGTTGTGTTCGGTTTTACTAGCCTGGCTTGCCAGACTCATCCTCTGTTTAATTCTGCACAGAGAAAGGGTCTGGGAACTCTCCTATTCAAATAACCCCACCCCCTGAGAGTTCTAACCGAGCCAATCAGTGCTGAGTAGCGTACGTCACACACCATAACTCTGAGTTTGTCAACCATGGCGAATGAAGCTGAGTTAGCTGCGGCTCTTTCCTCTAGTCCAGGGGTGGGTAACTCCAGTCCTCGAGGGCCGGTATCCTGCTTCTTTTTGTTTGTTCCCAGTTCCAACACAGTTGATTCAGCAGCTCATCAAGCTCTGCAGAAGCCAGCTAATCTCCTGCTGATTGAAATCAGGTGTGTTGAAACAGGAAAAACAGTAAAACATGTGGGATAGTGGCCCTCGTGGACCAGGATTGCCCGCCCCTGCGTCTAGTCTAAATGACTTGGACGTGTCTTAAAAACAACAACAAGTAGAAGTGCTACAAGCCTTTCTTCTAAAGAAAGATGTTTGCGCTGTCGCCTGACGCTATTTTTGACCACAGCTAAGAAACTACAGCGTTGCGGATGTCACACACAATGAAGCTCAGTTTCTCATAAACAACGAAGACAGCGGCGGCGTTCACTGCGGCTCTTTCCTCTTTTCTGAATGACTTGAATGTCTTTAAAACCACAACAAGTAGAAGTGCTAAAAGCATTTCTTTAAATAAAAAAAAGATGTTTGCGCCATTGCCAGACGCATTTTGTTTACTACAGCTAAAAAAACGACAGCGTTGCGCGGTACAGTCGGCATTTCCGTCTTTTTTCTGAGTGGTTATTTTTGAGCTGCCTGGTCCCGCCCCTCAAGTGCCTCTCTGCCTGTGAGTTACCGTATTCTTTTTCTGTGCAGAATTAAACAGAGGACGAGTCTGGCAGGCCAGGCTACTGTTTTACATCTGGGATGTCTCAGTCTGCCTCTGAAGGAGCTTTCCATGGTCTCCACAGTGGAATGCAGTGGGTGGGAGGATTTTTTTAAAAGATGGTGGTCATCTTCCCCAGCATCCTCCTTTCACACGTCTCCTTAACTGAATCCAGTGGGCAGCTCAGAACCAAGCTAGCTTTGTTAACCAGCTTGTTCAGTCTCTTCCTGTCTTGATCAAAGCTGCCTGCACCCCAACAGACCACAGCAGAGTGGACAACAAAGCCAACCACAGAGTGATAATAGGATTTTAGCAGGTGGGAATTAACTCCAAAGGACCTCAGCCTCCTTAGGAGGTAAAGGCGGCTTTGGCCCTTTTTATAGAGCATCTGTGTTGTTGGACCAGTTCAGTTTGCTGTTGAGGCGAATAACCAAGTTTTATTTTGTTAGCTTAAATCATGGAGACAAATGGGCCATTCCCATCTGTACCGGGTCGGCCCGGGCCGGGTAGCGTAGGTTGTTTACATATCTGGGTGGCCTGGTATTTTTCCGGGCCAACCAAGGCTCATTCTCAGCCCTCTTCTCGAGAGGGTCTGCTTCAGGCCGACCAGGGCCAACACACCCACTGCTGACAGCAAATTCACACCTTCCATTAGAGCAAGCCTCTGATTGGTGGGTAGAATCAGCCCACACGGGCTTAAGACAAGGATATGTGGAGTCAACCGGGCCAGGCTGGGGCCGACTGGGGCTACCCGGCCCGGGCCGACCCGGTACAGATGGGAATGGCCCAAATGTTCTGGGTAACGGCTGGAGACTGGGTTCTAGCCCTCCAGCTAGTGTGGATCATCAACATATAAATATTGGACAATGGGTTTCCATAGACTCCAACAACACGTTTTTGAAGAAAAATGGGAGGTGGCCACCACCGCCATTTTGACAGTGGCACAGGTTCCGTCAAGCCCAGACAATTCCACAAAAGGGAAGAGAGGTGGAGCTGAGGGTGGGGCTGTAAGGCTAGGATCAACTGACGACACCCGGTCGAACTTTTTTTGTACTTGTTTGTACTCTTTAAAAGTGAAAGAATATCACAACTTGTTCAAAGATCTGTTAGAGGGGTTCATTAATGGTTCATATACATAACTCTGCGGGTAGTATGCAAATGCAGGTTTGCAGTAGTTCAAAGTTTCTTTGGGGGGCTTAGCCTTCTAGAGGCCTGTTTAAATGTTTTATGTTGTAACCATGTGGTTCTTGTTCAAGATTCTTTTTGAACACCCACGGTATTCTAATTTTAATAAGGGAGTAACAGATATACTGCAGTCGACTGGCTCTAATGGCTCAGAGTAATTATAATCTTATACCAAGTAAAGAGTACTTGAAAATTATAAGTTGGAATGTGAAGGGTTTAAATCAGGCTGTCAAGTTAAAAAGGGTTTTTCTCATTTACAACATCTTAGGGTTGGTATTGCTTTTCTACAGGAAACCCACCTTCAAAAGCGAGACCAGACTAAAATTCACAGAGAATTGGTGGGGCAACTGTTTCATTCACAATTTAACAGCAAAGGCAGAGGAGTAGCAATACTCATTCACAAAAATATTCCTTTTGTTGTATCAGATACCATCCTGGATCCAAATGGTAGATATGTAATTGTTGTGGGACAGCTGTTTCAACTTAGCTTAGTGTTTGTCAATATCTATGGTCCAAATTTTGACTATGAGAATTTTTTTAAGAAACTGTTCAGCTGTATCCCCAGTCTGGATAGTCATCATTTGATTATGGCTGGAGATTACAACTTGGTGATAAATTCGGTGCTAGATCGCTCCTCTCAATCTGTACATGGACCATCTAAATTGCAGCAAACGATCCAGTCGTTTATAGACACACACAAACTTATAGACCCTTGGAGATTTGAATATCCTATCAAAAGAGAATATTCATATTACTCTAATATGCACAAGACATTTTCCAGAATAGATTTTTTTCTTGGTTGATCCCTATTTGCTTAGTGACATTATAGAATGCGAATATGACACAATTATTATTTCGGACCATGCCCAGGTTAGTATTAAGATGATTCTTCCCACTCAGATGACTAAACGGACCTGGCAGCTTGACACGCTCTTGTTGGCAGATTCAGACTTTGTAAAGTTTATTACAGAACAAATAGACTTCTTTCTACAGATAAATACAGGGTATCTGCAGGTTTAAGGGAGCCAAATTTAAGACTTTTTAAGACCTTTTTTAAGGCCACTTGGACCAAATTTAAGCTAGTTTTTAAAATTAAATTTAAGCTATAATTTCCAGCTATTGCCTGGAACTAGTGCTAACCACGTCACGAACATGGGATTAGCCATCCAGTTACCATTAATGTTGCACTTCCCTATGGCGCAAACTTCCACTAGCGTGCTCATCTAAAAATAGCCCCCTTTCACAACCAACTGAATGTGTACGGTTCCGCTTACGCCAACATCGTACACAAAACTTGCTGAACATTAACTAGACATTCACGAAAATTTTATAGAAATAAAAGAATCTTGTTCATTGGGTCTTTGGTAATATAAGACCTTTGGAAACTGTATTTAAGGATTATTTGTCATTTTTAAGGATTTTTAAGGCCTTAAATTTGGAAAAGCAAATTTAAGACTTTTTAAGGACCCGCGGATACCCTGTAGATAGGACAGATGGGATTTCAGCCTCAACCCTATGGGAGACACTTAAAGCAAATCTCAGGGGGCAGATTATTTCCCGCTCTGCTTATATTAGGAAAATAAATTACAAAAAGATTGAGGAATTATCCTTGGAAGTCAAGGCCCTGGATGGACATATGTCTGGGTCTCCAACCGCTGATTTGATCAGAATCAGAAAAGCTTTATTGCCAGTGCTCCAGCGTCCCGGAGCATAGGAATTTGACTCCGCAGCACAGCCTGACCAAGGTTACACACACACACGTAGACAAAACAGATACAGGCAGACCACGAGGGCAGCCATGAACGGCGCTCATTTCATTTAGATGAAAAGGGGATTACATGAGGATAAATTAGAGGAGGGAAAAAAGGGCATTCCAGAGTTATTCCTGCAGGGCGTAGCTTTGCTATGCAAAAAAAAAAAAAAACTCCTCAAACATATAAGCACGAACATCAACAGTTCACAACATGAGACTCCAATAGGAAGGCAGGGCGGGGCTGGGATCCTGTTTCCCACAGCGAGAGCAGCCATCTACGGCGCTCATCTGCTGTACAGTCACATGTGGGAGGGAGATCTTGGGAGAAGTGAAGAGCACATTGACTCCTCCAGCTGATGACCTCGCCAGGCTGAAGTCCACCAATCCGAAGGCAGGACGGGTAGGTGGGGTTTTCACAGCATCTGTCTGCATTCGTTCGTGGGGGGTTTTAGTTGCTTGCAGCTCAAGGCTACCAGGGTGTCAGATTCAGATAACAAGAATTTGTTTGGGTCAGGCTGAGATAATTTTCCTCTCTGCCTTCAGTCTTTAAACTGATCATTTCCATCATGACCACAGGTGAGGGTAGGAACATAGATCGACTGGTAAATCGGGAGCTTCGCCTTCTGACAGCTCTCTCTTCACCACGACAGACCGGTACAACGCCCACATCACTGCAGATGCAGCACCAATTCGCCTATCGATCTCACACTCCAGTTTTCCCTCACTCGTGAACAAACCCCGAGATACTTAAACTCCTCCACTTGGGGCAGGACCTCGACCCTGACCCGGAGAAGGCATTCTACCCTTTTCCGAAACAAGACCATGGTCTCACATTTAGAGGAGCTGATTCTCATCCTAGCTGCTTCACACTCGGCTGCGAACCGCTCCAGCGAAAGCTGAAGATCACGTTCTGATGAAGCCAACAGGACCACATCATCTGCAAAAAGGAGAGACCTGATCCTCCGGCCACCTAAACGGATGCCCTCCACACCATGGCTGCGCCTAGAAATCCTGTCCATAAAGGTTATGAACAGAATCCGTGACAAAGGGCAGCCTTGGCGGAGTCCAACTCTCACAGGGAACAAGCCCGACTTACTGCCAGCAATGCGGACCAAGCTCTGACACCGGTCATACAGGGACCTAACAGCCCGTATCAGAGGGCCTGGTACCCCATACTCCTGGAGTATCCCCCACAGGGCTCCCCGAGGGATGCGGTCAAACGCCTTCTCCAAATCCACAAAACACACGTAGACTAGTTGGGAAAATTCCCATGCACCCTCCAGGATCCCCCTAAGGGTATAGAGCTGGTCCAGTGTTTCACAGCCGGGACAAAAACCACATTGCTCCTCCTGAATCTTCAACAATCCGACGGACCATCCTCTCCAGAACCCCTGAATAGACCTTACCAGGAAGGCTCAGGAGTGTGATCCCCCTGTAGTTGCAACACACCCTGCGGTCCCCCTTTTTAAATAAGGGGACCACCACCCCGGTCTGCCAGTCCAGTGGGACTGCCCCCGATGTCCACACGATATTGCAGAGCCGTGTCAGCCAACACAGCCCCACAACATCCAGAGCCTTAAGGAACTCCAGGCGTATCTCATCCATTCCTGGAGCCTTGCCACGGAGGAGCTTTTTAACCACCTCAGTGACCTCAGCACCAGAGATTTGAGAGGCCAACCCAAAGTCCCCAGACTCTGCTTCCTCACTGGAAGACGTGTGGGTGGGATTGAGGAGGTCTTCGAAGTATTCTGCCCACCGATCCACAACGTCCTGAGTAGAGGTCAGCAGCACACCGTCCCCACTATAGATAGTGTTGGTAGCACACTAATTTCCCCCCCCAAGGCACTGGATGGTGGACCAGAGTCTCCTCGAAGCCATACGGAAGTCTTGCTTCATGGTCTCACCGAACTCCTCCCATGCCCGGGTTTTTGCCTTGGCGACCACCCAAGCCGTGTTCCGCTTGGACTGCCGGTACCCGTCAGCTGCCTCTGGAGTCCCACAGGCCAAAAACACCTGATAGGACTCTTTATTCAGCTTGACAACATCCCTAACCGCCAGTGTCCACCAGCGGGTTCGGGGGTTGCCACCACGACAGGCACCGACGATCCTGCAACAACAGCTCTGGTCAGTCGCCTCAACAATGGAGGCATGGAACAGGGTCCATTCAGACTCAATGTCCCCCGTCTCCCCCAGAACCTTTTGGAAGTTCTGTTGGAGGTGGGAATTGAAGCTCCTTCTGACAGGAGACTCTGCCAGACGTTCCCAGCAGACCCTCGTGATACGTTTGGGCCTGCCTAGTCTTACCGGCATCCTCCCCCACCATCTGAGCCAAGTCACCACCAGGTAGTGGTCAGTTGACAGCTCCGCCCCTCTCTTCACCCGCTTGTTCAAGACATGCGGCCGCAGGTCAGATGAAACAACAACAAAGTCGATCATCGAGCTGTGGCCTTAGGTATCCTGGTGCCAAGTGAACATATGGACA